GAAGTGAATGAAGACGAGAAAGACTTGCCCACTTACTCGTCCTAGGTAATATTCTAGGGCTACTGTTCCGGCGCAATTATTTACTTTATAGAGGCAGTCGAAGGCGAAGTGAAGTGTCTTATGGCACAAGGATATGAGAGATGACCATAACGATAAGATAGAATGGACATCTGGTATGCCTGGTTGGGGAATCTTTTGATGGCTTTCAGCCGTTCATAACGAAGTTAATCTAATAATTTTCATCCTAACTAATAGAACCTTCAACACCACAGCCTTGGGAACATTATAGCTATTCAACCCCGCGCCTTTCTCGTTCGAGGGACTGTATGTGTAGATAAACAAGAAATTATCAGCAAATCATCTTATAATTTTCCGCAGATATATTTGGGACTATCGCTGCAAAGATCCAAATCATGTGATCTAAGTGCATGAAATTGTTCAACAGTTACAACATAGTACCAGTATAGTGCGGGATTATCATTGAGCCTTGCGTACTAGGTAGCCACTATGTAGAACGTTGTCATGGAATTTGAGTGGAAGAATAAATAATGTTGCAATGATTGGGAGATCTTTCTCTATTCACGTTGTCTCTGATCGGAACAACCGAGAGGAAAAGAGATAATAGAATGGACAGTATTTTAGATAGTGATTATCGACCAGTAATTTTCTTCGATCACAGCCTCACTGCCCATGACCAGTTAATTGCATAAGGACATCAAGACAGCGGGAAATCATTGGCCATACTATATAGATGCTTTTTCGTATTTCTAAACAAAGGTAGTAATTGCCAATCCATGATGCAACCCTGAGACAGTGTTGCGCTACAATCTGAGTCAGGGTTTCCAACGTCAAGGACTGCTGTCCGACAACTTGAGCCTTTCAACTCCTGAATTTAATTGTAACATTCAGATGATCTTGACTTTGAACTCATCTCGAATATTGAAAGTCACACCCAATATGTCAATCCAAACTACTGGATACCCTGCTCTTGGCTATATGCTATCCTCTCAGTGAAGTGGAAATTTAGAATCGCACAACTTGATGACCCATTCAAGGTTTTGCATAGAATGATATAGGTGCACTTGCACCGTAGAAATCAGAGAGTATGTTAGAAACATATAGGAGCAACAAGTAGACATTGAGTGTAAGAAGCCTTGAATGATTCAATGTTTTGAGGACAACAGATGATTTGAATGATGCTTGATATATTCAATACACATTCGACCTTTGAAAGCCCCTGTAGTACAGCGGCCGCTAGCGCTATTTTAATTCACGACGCGTCTCCCAAGCAACATTTATAATTGTCGACCGCTCCATTTGGTTTCCATCAAATCTGCCAAAGACATGAATGATTTCCTAGACACGAAGAAAGTCTAAAGTCGCCCTTTTTTGATTATGCCACCACCAGAACCATCAAGTACACGGAAACGCCTTAGATCTCGTATATCAGATGAAGCTGACGAATTATCCCCTCTACCTGCAAAATCGCAAACATCTGCAGCGAAACGTCAAAAGGTAGATGTACCTACCTCCAGGCTTGGTGGTATCTCGGGTCGGTTCAAGAAACTGCTTGGATTGAGCGTTAAGAAGGAGGCTGAAGATAGTGCAGACGAATTGGGCGAGGATATCTACGACTTTAAGGTTACGGATGACGAGGAAGAGAATACAAATGCATCAGGGAAAGCGAATACCAAACCGGTAGCGAGAAGCACCAAGGCGGCAAAGTCTACAGCGAAGGAAGTGGTGCCCCCTGTGAAACGTGGTCGTGGGCGACCGCCTAAGAATAAAGAATATCTTCAGAAGGCGAAAGCATTATCACGACAAGCTATTCAGAATGAATCTACGAGGAACCAGCAGAATAAGGACATCGAAGCTAGTAATGAAGATATAGAGCCTGCGGAGAAGTCTACAACATCATCCAGGAGTCAATCGACGCGATTCTCTAATTCAAAAGACGTAGTTTCAAAGGCTCGAGGGGAGACCACTGAAATGCCTGGATCCAGCACACCGAAACGTGGCCGACCAAAGCGGATAATAGATGGTTTGGCAGATTCAACGGCCGCGATCCCAAAAGGTATCCTGACTCCTAGCAAGTCTAGAAATTCAACAATAAGGAAGAGTGTTGCATTTGATGAATCTGGTAAGGATAATTTAGAGGGGTTTAAAGATATTCCGGTAGGTAAAATCATTTGTAAAGCAGACTGCTTATCGTCGGGCGATGTTGCAGATATGAACATCATGTGTACTAATCAGAAAATAGTCTGAGGCACACCTCAAGAATCTACAGGGCAAGACTATACCATCCACGTCGCATTCGATTGATGATGGTTATTATGATGACGATTATGAAGGTGCTGTTTGCGAGATCTGCACAAAACCTGATTCGGTAGCTCCGAACAAAATTATATTCTGCGATGGATGCCCGCTCATTGTGCATCAGAAATGTTACAGTGTGCCAAAAATACCTGAAGGAGATTGGTTTTGTAAGAAGTGTCAAAAGGCTAGAGTAGCAGCAGAGGCAGCGAGGGCTGCTGAGAATGATGGTGTGAGCGACTCTGATGACGAAGTATCATGTGCTGTTTGTGAAGGATTGGATTCAGAGATACCGAACGAGATTATTCTATGTGAGAATTGTGATTATGCCGTTCACCAATCTTGCGGCAATATTCCCAAGAAACCTCGGGGCGAATGGCTTTGTAAAACTTGCATTTCTGATGTAGATCATGATTTACTCGATGGGAAAACAGATTTGGTTCCAATATCAAATGAAATTCCCGGCATCGAGGGGTTCGAAACCCATCTGAAAACAATGCAAAGAGCATTACTGAATCGCCTTACCGGAGAGAAACGTCTAAAAATCCAAGGCCATGAAGACGACATGCATAAGGTACATCAACTCGTCGAACAAACTGTTTTGGCGGGCGAGGGTAACTCTATGTTGATTATTGGTGCAAGGGGTTCTGGAAAGACTACCGTAAGATCCATACCGATATTCTTAGACATTAAGCTAATTCATGTGCAGCTGGTTGAAACCGTAATTTCAGATCTTGGAAGAGACCATAGACAAAAATTCCATGTGGTTAGACTTAATGGATTCATCCATACTGACGATCGGCTAGCGTTGCGCGAGATATGGAGACAGTTGGGCAGGGAAATGGAAGTCGAAGATGACTCTAATGGCAAGGTAAATATCTTTGTGGTCAGAATTATGCCTGCGTTAACATTTCAAACAGATTAATAATTATGCCGATACCTTGGCGTCTCTTCTGGCTTTACTCTCCCATCCATCGGAGATATCAGAAATCGAGACAGACCATGCTGCTAAATCTGTTATCTTTGTACTAGACGAATTTGACCTATTCACGACACATTCTCGACAAACTTTACTCTATAATTTATTCGACATAGCACAGGCCAGGAAAGCGCCTATTGCTGTACTTGGTCTAACCACCCGTGTGGATGTAGTCGAGAGTCTAGAAAAGAGAGTCAAAAGTCGTTTTAGTCACCGATATGTTCATTTATCATTACCCAGAAGTCTTCCAGCATTTTGGGAAGTATGTAAACAGGGCCTCATTGTTGACAGCGATGATTACGATGACGAGGGATTTGATATCTCGACACCTGGACAAAAAGAGTTCCTATCATTTTGGCAGAACATGATCGAGGTAAGGTCCTATGTTCCCTATCACACTCACATAACTAATACTGCGGCCAGAAACTATACAATAACGACAAAAGTTTCAAGCATCATATTCAATCAAATTTTTACCGCTCTAAATCGGTGTCGGCATTTTTTACCTCCTCGATTCTTCCTATATCAAGTCTTTCAATGCAGAACTTCCCATTGCGTGGCCAATCATTTAACATGGCTAACATGGCACTGTCAGCCCCGGACTCTAAACTCCACATCCTTCAGGGCTTATCCGAGTTGGAACTCGCTATGCTGATAGCTGCCGCACGACTTGACATTATTCTAGACACAGATACTTGCAATTTCGCAATAGCTTACGACGAGTATAGCTCCTTGACATCAAGGTACAAGATACAGACATCGAGCACGGGAGTTACAGCTTTAGGAGGTAGTGCTAAAGTATGGGGGAGGGATGTCGCTTTGGGGGCTTGGGAAAGATTGGTAGATTATGATTTACTAATATCTGCAGCTATCGGTGCGGCACAAGTGGGTGGAATTGCAGGTCGTATGTGGAAAGTAGATATTGCATTGGAGGAAATTCCTGGTAGTATCGAGGGTTTGACTGGGGTCATGCTTAAGTGGTGTAGAGAAATATGAACTCGGTGTCAACCCATCCATCCATGACGCCATGTTTGCAATGTCGGTATTGGTCGATTTTTTTCGCCATGTGGTGAAATGTAACACGAATCGCCCCATTTGTGAAGGAAACTTTGGTAAGCTGATCGGTCTGCGGATGCCGGCATATTTCCATGGTCATTAGTCTCCATTTAGACGTCTGTGAGAGCCAACATCCAGCCTTTCTTCCAGAATTTACATTTAGACCCCAAATGCTCGGGTCAGAAAGAGGTCAATCCTAGAAAGAACAATATTGATGTATTGTGTTTGTACTTCCATAAGATGGTTCGAAAAATGTTACAGACAAGACGATTATTCTCTTAATCCGCAGATGGCTTCTTAGATGACCATTACCGTTTACGCAGAGTCCAGTCGGTGAGTTTTGAATTGATAATCGTGCAACGCAAAACACTCTACCTACAATCAAAAAGGATGCAGATTCTCTGCATGACCACATTTGAGTCGAATTGTGGCTTGACATAACATGTTTTTCCATTTCCTCCAATGAAGCATTTGCGGCCGGTCAGCCTCACTTCGATAAGTTTGTAGCGGGGAAACAAGGCAGTATTTATCTATTCTGATTGCTTGGGTGTTTTAATTCCCTTTCAACTCGACCTTTACCATTCGAAGATCTCATTCAATCCCTTCATTTCACCTAGACCATTAATTTCCTGCGCGGAAAGATACAGCAGGAATGGAAAATATTGCAGCGAAAGATGTAGTGGGCCTAGACGGCATCTTAGCTTATGCTGGACGGCTTTCTTTCGTTTTTCATAAATATCGACTGCTCTCTACAGAGAATGAGCACCTTATACCTAGTGTTGTTGAAGAACATATTAGCCTTCTCAGTTCCACCATTGGTACGCTCAACGAAGTGCTTGGCCTTCTGAAACGAGAAGACGCGGGTAAATCCCTGAATCACGTCTTTAGCGATAATGGCCTTCAATTTGTGAATTTGCTGGTAGGAGAGTGCGCAAAGGTCTTGGGCAAGATTGCTCCTACGGCCACAAAAGCTGCTCAGAAGGTGGAGCGAAAGAAGAACGGAAAAATAGCGAAGAAAGCCAAAGAGAATATCATTGCGCCTGTGGTGCCAACGCAATTGAAGCTCGACGAGGAGAAGTTCTTAAATGACCTCGAGACTGCAGTGTGGTATCGTGTAGACAACGATACCTATGCCTACCTAGAGCGGTTCAAAAAGATCCAATTGCATCTTCTCTTGGTATACCAAGTTGTTACTGTTGGCTCGCTTCTAGGAGATCTGTGAGTTTAAAACATTCCATCGAGAAGCAAATACTTACCAAATACAGATCTTCTGGAAAAGTCGATATCGAAAAGATCGTGCTCTATCACGAACGTATCAACCGCACCTTCGATCTAGTTTGTAGATCTTCACCAGGTCGGCGTCGAAACTTTTGTTCCAGCAGTAGCTCTGCGTATACACTGAGTGGTTCGGATACTGATATCGATGTTAGCTCGATGATTTCTAGGATAGGACGAAACTCACGCCCGAATTTCGCTACACACTGCCCTCCGCCCCCTCCGCCCTTTCCACCTGTTGACAGATGTCTTCCTCAGCCCGCATTGAGGGTTGTAAGAGCTACCCCACCCCCTGGCATGGCATTCATGCCAAGACCGCCGACCCCAAATTCTACGTCTTCCCCAAGATTTATTAATCTAAATGTGAGTAAATTCCCCGAGACACATCCGGGTTTCTAGACACTTCTTCTATCTTTTTCCACAACACTCAACCCTTTCTCCAAAGCCCACAGTATATGAGCCCCTACGGGATACCTTTGCACGTGTACTGATATGATTAAGACCAACCCCCCCTCATACGAGAGCCACAGAGGTTCCACTACGCCGCCATTGAAGCAAGCATTGCCATTAACACATCCCCCAACATCTCCACGAATACTATCGGATGAGAAAGGCGAGGAAAACAAGGCACATTCAGTAACAAAGAAGGAGGAGGAGGAAGTAGTGAACAACAACACGGAGTAAGTTCTACGTAGAATTGAGGACTGCAAATTTCCTAGTACTGATGATGACAGGCCCCGAGCACCAGAAGGCCAACTCTTCAATTCTCCCCACAACCGCCTTAGCTTCAAGATCAGAAGCCTCTTTCGAAGCAAGGAGTCTCTTGCTGCTGAGATGAAGAAAGTCTTGGAAAGTACTTCAAGCGTACTCGACGCTTTTCTCATTCAAGGTTATGATGTTAGGCCAATCCCCCACTCAGCATTTCACAGCCTGGAAACTACGCACATGCGTACGATTCTGAGCCAATTGAATGACAATAGCTGGCTTGAGACTTTCAGCAACTTGACAAGAGTTGAACATAGCACACTTGGTATCGCTCTATGTCCTTGTGGGCAGACAAAATCGCGTCGAGAGGTAGTGGTGCTTAAGGTTCTACAAGAGAATAAAAACAATTTGTGGATGCGTCTCATTGCCAATAAGTCTGTCACTCCTATCTTACCACAGCATTCAAACGGCCGAATCATATTAGCCATTGTTCGAGAGCACCTGGATGATGGCAAACATATAAGTCCAATACCTCATGGAACTGTGGAACCTTCTTTACAGCGCTTTCCTGTGCCTCCTACGCCTCCAGGGTTTTCTCAACCAGGTCCACCACCTCCTGGAGTGCTATCGGGTCCTCCCCCTCCTCCTCCTAGAGGTATTCCATATTCGCATCCGCCTCCGCCTCCTGCTATGCTCCCAACGATAAGGCATCCTCCAATGACAGCACCCAGGGGCCTTAGTATTCCTCCACCTCCACCTCCACCCCCGCCTCCGGCTCCTAGACCACAGTTTAATTCAAGCCAAGCCCACATCTACAGCGATGCTGAATTATTGGTTGCTCTCACAACATACGCTGAGTACACGCTTCGACAAGCCGAGCCTGACGAGTCCAGTCTGCTTCGCTCATGGTTCAAGGTAATCATAACCCACGAATATAACTCACTTCCCGATATAGTCGCTCGCGTGGATTCCTTCAATAAACGTGGAAGCTCCGTAATCAATTCTCAACTCCGTCTCACAGATCAACAAGCAATTCACATGACCCAGATCTTGGAAGATCTTCAAGTAAAAGAACGAGATTTCAGGTTTGAATGGTGCTGGGTGGAACTAAGTCTTCACAATAGTGTAGGAGAAGTGGATCTCGCTATGCGCGGTCAAGCAGCCCAAACGGCAACAATGATGCATTTGATCGCTCGAAGATCTCTGAAGAGAGAGTATAAACCATCTGAGGTTTACAATTTGCTTGTGCGAGGACCACCACGCCCAGGCTTTAACAACGGTCTTCCTCCACGCCCAGGCCCACCAGTCGGAATACCAATGCCTGGACCTCCTCCACCGCCTCCACAGCCACAGCCTGTACCAGGCCGGGGACCTTCAGTCTTTATTGATCGCTTCAGACCACGACCGAGAGGCAATAGGAGAGCTAGAGCTAGAGATATGAGTATGAGTGATCGTGATGATTCAGGTAGCTCAGGGAGTGATAGTGATACTACCTATGATAGTAGAATCCGACGAGTGAGAAGAACACGTCGCAATGATAGACGTATGGGCCGGCGTTATTCCGATAGTGAAATCTCGGATGATAGCGATGAAGAAGAAGATGTCATTAAAATTCCGGTTATCTTGAAAAGGGGCGATGATGTGGTTAAGAAGCTTTTGGATCTTTGGACACCGAATACGGGGGATGTCGAAAAGTCAACGGACAGAGTGAGTGAGAGTTCCTAATCTAAGGAACAGATTTAGGAGGGGTGGTTTTAATTATTTCTAATTGAGCCGGGGCAAGGTATGCAATTTGTTTTAAGGGGTATGAATTTACGGCCTAGTCAATCAATCCAACGTCTATTATGATATTTAACATACATAAATGCGTACTGGCAAATGGGTACAGAAACTCTGTGATGTATCCAAACAATCAAAATATTACAAATTTCTGAATCATCAGGAAAAAAGGGCAGCCGTATTGATTCTGCAATGCTTTTGAGATCCAGAAACTTCGCAAATATAACAATGATCCACTAATTTTTGTGAAATTTGGATTTTAAATCAACTGCGGATTTTCTTCGCAACTAATCAAAGTTTTCGATTGAGGTCCATGTGTTGCTATCACGATGGAGCGATCTTGGAAGAGGCTATTTTCTAATTGATCTTCCTGTCTAAATAGTACTTTGCGCACTAGAACTGGCAGTTCTATCCGCTTTATTCCCGCTCCTAGGCTTCTTGAAGCAAGCAAACTCACTCTTACTCGCCTCCCTCAGCCTCTTCAAATCTACTCTCATGCCCGGCAGTATTTTTTGCAACCTGGCTCTCGCTTCACCATCTGTTCCTTTATCCAATTCCTGATAGATCTGGCTTGATGTTTCTGTTGCTCGCTCTGTTGTATATTGATTCATAGTCTGTGCGACAAATTCAATATCAAGAGTAGCCTGCATAAGAGAATTGAGAGGAAATCGCTGACGTTGTTTGAAAGCCTCTAAGAACTCCAGGGATACTTGCTCTAAGAGATAAGAGAGAACTTGACCGGTGAGGGAAGAGGCAGTAGTAGATACTTGGGTATGGACGATAACGAGACAAAGCAGAGCCTCGTATACATAAGGACGAACTTCTTTTGGTTGTTCGGTTGGTGCCCAATCTGGTGCCAGAACTCCACGACGCACAATACCGCGGAGAGTCTCAACAGTAGGTTTTGTATACGATTGGAAAAGACGAGCGTCAATTTGCCCTAGGACGTCTCTTATTGTCTTAGCTTCCTCTGTAAGTTTGACCGAGAAAGCATTCTCGAACTGCGTTGTAAGATTTGGAACGACATCAACACGCAGTGCCTGGAGATTGCTTAAAGTTAAAAGCATTCGAACATTCTACAAGAGTTAATTCATTTTCCAGAAAAGGATATAAATTATTTGACTTACGCGATCGCTAGCATCGACAGTTCCAGCACCCATACTTGTAGCAACGATCATCGCCACAGGAGTCGCCAAACCATCGGTATCGGCGGTCCAATCATCTTCGGTTTTCTTGACGGATCTTTCTGCGTTCTCGACCATCCCACTCAATGCTTTATAGAGGGTTGTCACGAACTGACTGCGAACCATTTGCAAGAGTTTGGCTGGCGGAGGTAGAACAATTTCAGCCGAGCCTTGCTTAATTGATGCATCGGAAATGTAAAGAATTTTTTGCATGCCTGATAGAATCGCGCTTTCAAAAGCACTGAAATTAGCTGGCATTCTGGTTAAGTCTCGTTTATCTGGAGAACGCCTCCAATCTTCCAAAACTTTGATGTTTTCGGCATCTTTATTCCATGCTGCAAGTATTGCAGTCACGCATCTCTCACGGGCACCTCCAACAAGAGCTTTTAATCTTTCCAGAGCTGAACCATCTCCATTGATGACAGGTGAAACTCCTGCCATTTCACTTGCACCGGAACCTACAAGCGCAAGGAATTTGGCCAAATAATGGACTCCACTGGCTGAATTTGACCATGGTGGCCAGAAGGCAAATTTTTCCCATGCTTCACCTCGTCGAGGGGATGGGGGTGGTAGATTGTTTGGATCGAATGTGAATCGAGAACCTCGAAGGGCAGACGGGGTCAACGAATCAGCCGTTCTTGGTGTGCGTGGGGTGGGTGGTAAAGGCGAAAACAATGCTGAGATATCCTCAATTGGAGGATCAACAAACAACTCGTATATGCTTTCCCGAAGCATATCTACTAACTCAACTGTTCCTTGTTGCAACTCAATAATGTTCTTGTCAGAGAGTCGATGATGCTCTCGAGACCTTCCATTTATACCTACTGGCAAAGCTTTCTGTGCTCTGCCATCAATAAAACTCTGAACAGTTTGCCAGAATTCTGTCACTTCGCCAAGAATTCCTTGCGCAGAAAACATACTATGGAGAAACGAGTTCAATTTTTCCCATAGCTCAATGATGTCTGGAGAATCGACTGAGACTTGTTTGTTGTCTACTATTTGACGTCCAAGCGACCGTAAATGAGTAGCAATAACTTGAGGTGCAGGCTTTTCAGCACTAGCTAGTCGCCGCCGCAGAATTTCAATCTCGACCTTGGAACGGTCTGAAGTTGTCTGTATTTTGACCTTAAGGTGATCAAAACGACTCAGTAACCAAACCCAGATAGGATTATCTGTTACTCCTAATTCGAGTAATATTCCAATAAGTTCCATGTGTTGATCCTGTTGAGCGCCAAAAATACCGTCTGTTCTAGCTGAACCTTGTGCCAATGATAACTTCTTCCATACATCACGTTTAAAATCCTCAATCTGCTGTTCGACGTCATGCCATACGCGAGCAGCCAGAAGAATTTGGTGTATCTGAGGATCAGTCGGTGGTGTATTTCCTAACGTTTCGGTGAGTTTCTTTGCGTCATCCGCGAACCGTCTTGCTTTTGTATATTCTTCGACAATACTTTCATAGTCTTTACGCTTGATACTATCGGTAATAGCAGCATTAACCTCGTAATATTCTTTGTATCGATCAACGGTTGCAGCCATTACTTTCAGGCTATCTTCCTTCTCTCTTCCCCCTAATGCAGGTCCCCACACCTCTTCTGCCTTTGCGGAGACGTCTAAGAGAGGAGTCTTTATTCCAAGGACACCATATTCGCTTTCTTTCATCAAAGCGTTCTTTTTTCTGACATCCACAGGTGCCGGAGTCGTCATCCCAATCTGATTACCACTACTCGCTCGAAAGCTACTTCTGCTGGCATGGCGGGAATGAGGTCTAGCTCGAGAAGCTGTGGGTGGTTCTGCCCCCCGATATTTCATTTCAGTGTATACATTGTCAATTGTGGCTTTCGCACGCACGAAACGTTCGAAGTTCGATTCGACGAGGACCTTAAGGGAGGCGGACTTTTGGTCAATCGATCTAGAGAGTAGATCTAAACCTCGTAATAGATCTTGGGTAGAGGCGGTAGAATGAACTTGGGAGAGGAATAAGGCGGGCGAGAATGTTGTAGACGACAAGAGGAACCTGTTACCTAGTACCGTCAGCGAAAGTAGAAAAGAAATGGAGGATAGACAAACGCAGTGCTATGTCGTCTTGTACTGGTAGACCCTGCTGCCGTAGAACTCTAACAACACTATCGGTGCTTCCTAGAGGATCTTGCTCATCTCTTTGAACCAAATTCTCGACCCCATCGCCCGACTTCTGTGCATTAGGAATGAGACTCTTGCGATCACTGGCTCTTTCCAGGGCGAAGTATTTGGACTTTCTGCGCGCGACAGCTGCAGCCATTGCACCATTTTGGTTCGACTTGGGATCATCGTCCTCCTCATCTGAAGCATCACTTGTGTCTTTATCCGCCGGCCATTCTATAGGATATGGAGATGAAAGCTGGTAGTGGTCCAAAATGGTCCGCTCCATGTCCGTCATATTGAATCGTGTTTAATTCGAGATTGTCGCAACAGATATTTAAAGGTATCGATTCATAAATTAAATTCCAACGCTACATATTCCACTTTGTGATTCCAAATTTGAATTGAATTGAACTTGAATTTATGGAATATATTATAATTCGTCGAGGTTCTACTTCACGGCGTTCAATCCAATGTTTGTTTGAAGGTGTATCATTCAATCATTAATAATTTGAGCATCAATACTCATTAGGTACAGAATCGTAAATCGGGAATTGCCGATAATGGTTCCGGGCCAAAACGGCTGAAAGTGGGAACGGCGGAATCCAAGCAGCAACCCATTACTTGAGGAAAAAAGCAACTTTCCGCAAGTTAGCCGCGACTTCAAATCTTCTTTCCCTATACTCATTTGGACTTGTTCACTCTCTTTTCCCCCCCTCTTCCAATACATTCTTGCATTTTTTGGCGAGAATTCATTTGGCAGACAGTATGTTAGCAATTAGATCTTTTGGCGCTCCTGCGCGAAGACAGTGCATCCAAGTATCTTCACGTGCTTGGAAACCAACCGCTGTCCAGGTAAGAATATGTTTAGTTCTAGCTCCTATGCAGCTATTGCGTATTCAAGATTCGAACCACATGCTTACCATGTATGATTGTAGGCCAGCCGCACATATGCTACCGAGAAACCCAAGATTGCCCAATTCCACGGCCAAAAGGGATCCGATGTAAGGCATTTCCCCAACCAGAAGAGAATGGTTCCAATACTGCCCACTTTGTAATGGAATGGAAGGGATACAATTGTATACTATGGAAATTTCTCGGGATATGGACACTGACATTTCATAAGGGACTTTACACAGTTAGTTTGATTGAGGGTGATGGTATCGGTCCAGAGATTTCCCAATCCGTGAAGGATATCTTCACAGCCGCCAAGGTAAGGAGAAAATTTGAAGGATCTCGAGTCAATTCTGACACGGAGTATAGGCACCGATCAAGTGGGAACCAGTTGACGTTACCCCGCAACTCAGGGACGGAAAGACCACTATCCCCGCAGAGACTATCGAGAGTATCAACAGAAACAAGGTCGCTTTGAAGGGTCCTTTGGCAGTATGTCTATCCCAGCTAGTAGTCTTTCACCCGCGCCTGGTACTAATCTACATTAGACCCCTATCGGCAAAGGTCATGTATCTTTGAACCTTACTCTTCGCCGAACTTTCAACCTTTTCGCCAACGTTCGACCATGTCGCTCAATCGCAGGATACAAGACACCTTACGATAATGTTGACACCGTTCTCATCCGTGAGAACACTGAGGGAGAATACTCTGGTATTGAGCACGTTGTGGTAGACGGAGTCGTACAAAGCATCAAGCTTATTACAAGGGAAGCTAGTGAGCGTGTTCTACGATTCGCATTCCAATACGCCGAAGATATCAACAAGTTGAAGGTTCGAGCTGTTCACAAGGCCACCATCATGAAGATGAGTGATGGTCTTTTCTTGAGCACCGCAAACAGAGTTTCCAAGGATTTCCCAGCCGTCGAGTTTGACTCTGAATTACTTGACAATACTTGCCTGAAGATTGTTACCGACCCAACTCCATACAACGACAAAGTTTTGGTTATGCCTAACCTTTACGGAGATATTCTCTCAGATATGTGCGCTGGTCTTATTGGTGGTCTTGGTCTTACTCCTTCCGGAAACATTGGAGATGAATGCTCTATCTTCGAGGCTGTCCACGGATCTGCTCCAGATATTGCTGGCAAGGCTCTTGCCAACCCTACCGCTCTTCTCCTCAGTTCCATCATGATGTTGAGACACATGGGTTTGAATGACCACGCAAAGAGAATAGAGACTGCCATTTTCGATGTTTTGGCAGAAGGTAAGACCTTGACTGGTGATTTGGGCGGAAAGTCTAAGACTCATGAGTATGCTGGAGCGATTATCAGCCGTTTGTAGATACATTAGATACCCGGTTTAGGGGAGTATAGACTGTACCATCAAGTGCATAAAATTCCCGGACTGCTCATAAAATACTAAATCTCACAAGATCACTCGGGGAATTTTTGCTTTTAACCGGTGATTGCCTATGAATTATTTCGAAATTTATCAATTGGGTGCCTATTGATATGACAACCCGTTCTGCAACATCTGAGTGCACTCAATTTAAAACCCCATTTCTCCAGTTTCTGTGCAACTTTGACCCCAGCTCCAGACGTCCACCCATTTTTGGTGAATCACGTGGTCGCATAATTGCTCGAACCCGTTCGGTTCTTGTTCGGTAATGCAGGCTCGCAGGTCAACAACGACATCCTTGGGGATCACCACACGTGGTGAAACGCATCAATGATACTTGCCAGTCGGATTCGGTTTTAATCTTGGATTAGGAAGCTCTGAAGAAACAAAACCTCCGTACTTGCGCTGAAAGTTCATAAATTGCAAGGTACAGGTGAGAGGCCGCGAATGCTAACATTGGACCTTCTCGTCAATTGACATTCTAGCCAATGAAACCTTCCAATTCGAGCTTCTAGATTTATTATTTTGCCCAGGCGGGAAAACAGACGGGAGAACAGACGGGTGAACAGAGCCGCAAAGATGAAGCGCTCATTAAAGCGCACTGCAATACGACGTGCTATGGCGGCACAAGAAAGGTATAAATATGAGCCTTTGCCCTCGTCGGGAGAAGAAGAATCAGATCCAGTTACTAGCACAGAGTCTGATGATATTCTCGAGAGTCTTGAGCAGCATCTGAGAAGATTCAAGAAGGGATCAAGGAGAAAAGTCCTCAACATGGGTATTGCAGCAGTTATGGTCTTAGGGTTTGTCTATTGGGCAGCAGTGTAAGTTCATCTATAAGTTTTCCCTTGTTATTCATCTTCTTGCTAATCATCGATATAGAGGTTTTGGACTACCTACTAACTCGTCATGTGATACTATCAATGCCGGATACTATTGTCAACCAGAGATCTCACATTTTTGGGGTCAATATTCTCCATATTTTTCAGTTCCCTCAGAGATCAGTGCCGCAGTCCCTGATCAATGTGAAATATCATTTGCTCAAATCTTGTCTCGTCATGGAGCGCGAGATCCTACAGCTGGCAAGACAGCAACATACATGGCTCTTGTTGAGAGAATTCAAAATACTACTACTTCCTATGGAGCAGATTATAAGTTCATTAAGGACTATAAATATACCCTAGGAGCCGATCAGCTTAGCGTTTTTGGACAACAGGAACTCATCAACTCTGGGATCAAGTACTACAATCGGTACAAATCTCTAGCTTCATCCATCACTCCCTTTATTCGTTCTTCGGGTCAAGACCGTGTTGTTGAGTCTGCTCAAAACTGGACGCAAGGGTTTAATTCGGCTCGTTTAGCAGATTCGTCATCCACAGCGAATACTAGCTACCCATTCAAGATTGTTATCATCAGTGAAAATAAAGGAAGCAACAACACTCTCGACCATGGTCTCTGTACTGCTTTCGAGGATGGACCTGATTCCACGATCGGAGACTCTGCTCAAGCCAAGTGGGCATCAATCTTCACCCCAAACATCACTTCGCGTCTTAATACAAACCTCCCCGGCGCCAACCTTACTATGGCTGATACCATATACTTCATGGATCTCTGCCCTTTCAATACTGTCGCCTCGCCTACAGGAACCATTTCTCCATTTTGCAAGATCTTCACGGCTGCCGACTGGAAAGCCTACGACTACTACCAATCCCTTGGTAAATACTACGGATACTCTTGGGGCAACCCATTGGGCCCAACACAAGGTGTAGGGTTCACCAACGAGCTGATTGCCCGCCTTACAAATTCCCCCCTCCAAGACCATACATCCACAAACCATACTTTAGACGACGATCCGGCCACATTTCCCGTTGACAAGTCCATCAAATTATATGCAGATTTCAGTCACGACAACGACATGACTGGGATTTTCTCCGCCCTGGGTCTATATAATTCCACAAGCGCATTATCAAACACTACAAGAGAAGATGCGTTGCAAACGAACGGCTATTCGGCGAGTTGGTCGGTACCATTTGCAGCGAGGATGTATGTTGAGAAGATGACCTGTGCAGGAGAGAGCGAGGAACTAGTCAGAGTAATTGTCAACGATCGCGTGCTGCCATTGGAAACTTGTGGTGGTGATGAATTGGGCAGATGCGGATTGTCAAAGTTTGTGGACAGTTTGAGCTTTGCTACTGCAGGTGGTGACTGGGGAAGCTGTTTCACTTCCTGAGCTGATGGTCTTATATTATGAAATTATAAAAAGTAGAGCGCAAGATAAATTTGTGCCAAAGATAGTAATGGCAGGTTGTTTCGGTAGCGTTCTTCGAAGTTCAAAAAGAAAGTTAGTTAATATAGTCTTCAAATGATTAGAAATCTGCCAAAACCTGTGTCAACTCGATCAAGATCTAGAAATATATAATGCAAGACTCGGGGGGTTCTTTTAACTTCAGTTGACATTTCTAGCATGAATATCGGGAGGAAAGAAACTTCTAAAGATTACAACCCGCGCAATAGAAAAATTCCAACGCCTTGCTTGAGTGGGGATCACTCCCACCCAAAAGTTCTTATATCCCAGAAATAGGTACCCCTCAAAAAACTCCACCGTGCTTGGTTTGCAGACACCATTGGTATATATGCCTCATCTCCTAACCCCAATCCTTCAAATTTACAAACATCCAACAATACAGTCTATCGTGCAGCCTCAAAATGATCATAGCAGATATGCTGCGCCTCCAAAGATGGTTAATCCGACTCCAGCCCACCAAACGAGGTCAAGATCGATGCGATTGATAAGCGAAGGTTGCTCGATACCGCGACTGATATGCTTGGCGTTCTTGTTAAGAGGAAGAAGGTAGCCTTCCGAAGTTGTGGGCTCTTCAGGTTCGTCCCCGTATCCCAGCCACCGCTTCATTTTAGAGCTCGAAGTTGACGTTGCTGAAGTTGTAGGGTTGAGGGTTTCAGTAGGAAGCATCAGAGCGGGACTATAGGCTAAAAACATCGGGTTCACAGGTGTTCCATCGAATTGGTAAAGATCAAGTCGAGTTAATTTCGTATAAGGATCCGTGTAGACTTGGTATTTCTACAAGTTAAAGTGTTAGCAACACGACCTTGTTTATATTCCAATATATCGATAACCAATATAATAGACGGGCGCAATCACGAACCTGGAGTGTCTCGCTCTGGTTGTATCGTGTGTATGTTGCAGTACTGGCAGTACATGGAGCAGATTCCAATTGACGACCATCCACACTAAAGGGACTCAGACTAAGAGATCCATCCGAGTTTAAGACGAATTTGCCGTGTTGCCATTGCATTATCGATGACACACAGCTCGGTTTCGCAGCTACGGTATTATCAGTTATATTTCTTCGTGCAATAATCGTCTTCGCTCCAGTGTTGTGAAGGAATACATACGATTTGAGATCGCTCGATAATATGCCTCTTCATAGTAGCCATCTGCGGTGAAAGAATATGAGATTCCAGTATGAGTAGGTTCGAGTAGTGTATCATTGACTGGATTGTAAAAGCCCTAGTTCTTGATGTCAGCGCGTGCCAATCGCAATTTTCATGATTCAGCCATCCTGATTTAAGAATAAAACGTACTGGACCAGTCAACACTGCGGCGGACTTCGTAGACCATGTTCCAACGAGCTCAGCTACATTTGGCTCCGCAGACACAGTTGACAGTAAATATGCGCTCGCGATTAATACTGAAGGCAGAACGAGTGGTGCCATATTGCTGGATGGTAGTTGTCGATGAATAAGTTTTTGAATTACGAGCATGAACTTCCACTTAGGGATGGACTTCGTAACATCGCTAATAAACATTCAGCCACATCTAGCGCCACCGCAAGCAGCCTCCACCGCAAATACTTAAAAATAGCAACATTTTAAATATGGATTCTAGCTACGTGATTGCTCAAGTCTTTTTTTCTCATCATCATCAGGCTAATTGATAAGCTTTGATAAGTCTAGTGCCCTTTTCTGATATTATATTCCAAACTTTCAAGGTTGTATTTGTTCAGCCATTGGTGGTTGGCCCAAAAAGCAGTTTTCATACCTACCTACTTGACATCAACAATGGCTTCATCAGCAGCATTGAAATCAGGCAAAAAGGAGCTCCGTCTCTCGATTAAAAAGGTTCTGTCTACAGTTACAAATGAGTCCGTACATACTCAAAGTAAGTATTCTGGTTCATATTGGAAAATGAGTTTCACATTTATATACTGCCAGCTCATTAATTTGATTAGGTGCGGCTGTTCTTCACAGACTCATCAATTTCAAACCATATCAACAGGCCAAACGAATAGGGATATATCTTGCTATGCCGACTGGGGAATTACAAACTGATGCAATTGTAAGGCACGCTTTGGAATCTGGCAAACAGGTCTTCGTACCTTACCTTCATAAATCTACTTCTCAGTCACCTGATACACCCCGTTCCGTGATGGATATGGTGGACCTTCGTAGCCTTGCAGATTTTGAAGCCTTGAAAAGAGATAGTTGGGGAATTCCCACGATCCCTGCAGAGACTGTGGATGAACGAGAAAGTATATTGAAGACTGTTTCGAGCAAAGGTGGTCTAGATATGATACTGTTGCCTGGGGTGGCCTTTGACATTGATCCTAAAAGCAACTTCATAAGACGCCTTGGTCATGGCAAAGGTTTCTATGACTACTTCTTGCATCGATACAGGCAGCAGTCAGGGTCACAAATGACAGATCCAGCGAATCCAGGAACAAATGTATTGCTCTATGGTTTGGCTCTTGAGGAGCAATTCTTGAATTCTGGAACAGAAATCTCAGTACCAGTAGGAGAGCACGATAGTCTTCTCCACGGACTATTGTTGGGAGATGGTGAGATTAAAGATGGTCTTGTGTCCAGAGAATAGATCCACCTCGATGTAAACAACTAGATAGAAAGCCAGATGACCGAAGAACTCCCCTAAAACTCATGGTCCAGGTCTTACAGTACTTTTTGCTCTCATAACAACCCTTTCTGAATGTACGCCTTCCCATAACCTCTTATCCACTTGCGCTCTGGATTAACGAAACATTATCACCCTTCAAGAGAATTTGTCCTATATCGTATTAGTACACTGTGCGTCAAAATTCACATAATCTGATAACTCACCCAGTGCCCTGCGACTCTCTTCTTTATCCTTTGTAGCTTGCCTGACCTCCACTGCATCATCGAGCACCAAGTTCATGAACTCGTCGAAACCCTAATAGCGCATCAATTAGAAAAGCATCATCGCAAGAGGGGGGATTTGTGCGCGCACTCTGATCTTTCCTTCAATTCTGATTCCCAATTGCTCGTATAACCAAATAGACACAGGCGTATGCTGTTGGAGCAGCTTGAAGATGAAGTTGATTGGGGGAAGAAGGACCTTTCGGCCACCTCCACCGCCTCGATTCATGATGAGTTTTGTTGATTTTTGTTGAAGTGGTTACTCGTAAGGACACAGTCTGTAAAGACTATGACTGTTATTCAAAAGATAGCTTGAGTGGTGAGAGAGTTGGGTTTGAATCCGTTAAACTCCTGATCAAATATTTAAAATTCTCGACGCGGTTGGTCAACGGGCACCTTGAGCTTGTCTTTCCACAAGGCTGCCAAAACGGCACTAAAACTTTATTTCGCTGCGGTAACCAACAACTTTAACGGGCAGAACAAGTCAACCCTACATCACTTCTACAACCAAAGAACATTCTGATTCTTTCCAAGAAATCCTACAAAATACTACAACCACAAAAATTTCATCACAGATTCTTGATACACTTAATTCCTCTTTTCTAGATTTCTCTATATTCGGTAATTTCTTTGCCGATACATTTACGAACTGTACATGAATACATCTCCCCGTTAATTTGTCATTGTCTCCCAAGACCTACCCCTCCATCAAAATGGTCGCTGTTGCCACGAACGGGAGTGGGCCGCAGGATGCCTTCACTCCCGTTATTGCGGCTTTAAATACTATGCGCGATGGTCAGCGAGGACAGAAAGAGGCGGCGCATAGTTTCTTAGAGAGTTTCCAGAAGTCGGTAGGTTGCGTTTTCTAGTCTCAATACTATTGCGCCAATCTAGTTGTTGACACAGGCTCACTTTTTCTGTAGGCGGAAGCATGGCAGATCACGATTGGCATCCTATCATCAAATGCTGAGCCAGATGCGAAGCTCTTTGCGGCTACCACTTTGAGAGGAAAGGTATATATGATCACAAACCCCACCTATTCAGATTGAAATCTAATCTTATAGATTACATATGACGTTCAACAAATACCAAGCGATTCCTTACCAGCTCTAAGAAACCAGCTTTTAGAGCTGTTGAAAGTGTTTGCGACAGGGCCACGACCGATCCGAATCCAACTATGCGTTTGCTTGGCCATTTTAGCTATACAGATGACAACTTGGAAGGATGTAGTGCCGATGGTAGTATCAACATTAGGGAACTCCGCAGAAAGTCTCGCCTGCGTTCTAGATTTCTTGAAAGTTCTTCCAGAAGAAGTCACCGAAGGACGAAAGATCACTTTGACAGTATGTGGGCCGAAATACACCATTCCCGGAGCATGTGAAACGATGTGGAAAGGTCGAGAAGTTATTGGGAATATCAGAGTCTAATGCGTCAATTAGGAAGATGAGCTTCAACAGAGAACTCAGGAATTATTGGGAGATAACACCGCCCAAGTGGTACAACTGCTGATTGCATATGCACAATCGTCTGGTACGTAATAATTGCTTTTGGATACAGTTGCAGGAGGCTAATAAACACCATACAGAATCTGCTGCGACAAATCCACAATTACTTGAAGTCATCACATCTTGGCTCCGCGAAGTACCTGTCGCCGACATAGTTAACTCGCCTCTTTTACCGGTAATATTTAATGCCTTGAACAACGACCGTTCCTTCGAAGCAGCAACAGATTGTCTTTGTGCTGTATTTAAGGAGACTCGTGAGGTTGATGAGTACATGCCTACCATCGAAATACTTTTACCTCGTGTATTAGCACTTCAGCCTCGCATTGCGCAAGCTGCCCAAGAAGAAGATTCTGATTCGTTCAAAGGCTTTACTCGCATTTTCGCCGAAGCTGGTGAAGCATGGGTTGTCTTGATTGCTCGAGAGCCTAAGGTCTTCCGACCTTTGGTTGAGGCAATTTTAGAGTGTACTCATAGAGATTTTGATAAGGATGCCATATCTCTTACTTTCATCTTCTGGTATGAACTCAAACTCTATCTCATCCTTGAGATGTACATCGAAGCTCGTATGCAATATGTGGATGTATACTCTAGTCTCGTTGACATCATGATGAAGCATCTGGAATTCCCTACAGCCGATGGCGCAGATGAAACGGACTTGTTTGATGGCGATAGGGATGCAGAGGAAAAGTTTCGGGAGTTCCGTCACCATATGGGAGACGTTCTCAAAGACTGTTGTGAGATTATGGGCGTTACACCATGCCTCACGAAAGTTTACGACGCTATCAAGGCGTGGATGGGCTCTTATGCTAGTCAGGCAACAGCAGCCTCTGTGCCACATTGGCAACAGCTCGAAGCACCTCTCTTTGGCATGCGTGCGATGGGGCGATTAGTTGATAGGGATGAAGACATTATACTCCCTCAAATCATACCTCTCCTTGTTCAGATTCCCCATCACGAAAAACTTCGATTTGCAACTATCATGGTATTAGGTCGTTATACGGAGTGGACTTCGAACCACCCCGAATTCCTCGAGTCCCAATTCCAATACATTGTATCGTCGTTTACAACAGACTCCAAGGAGATTGTTCGAGCAGCTGCCATGGCTATGAAATTCATTTGCAGCGATTGCAAACATTTACTTGGTGGGCAAGTAGTACAACTGCAACAATTTTACGATCAGACTCTCGACAAATTACCTGGAGTTAGTCAAGAAGAGTTAACAGAAGGTGTTGCATCTGTTGTTGCTGTTCAACCACCATCACAAACATATCAACTCATGAAATTATATTGTGATCCATTGATGTCCAGACTAATGGCCTTGGCAAATCAAGCTAACGATGAAGAATCAAAGCTTAAAGTAGCTGGTAATTACTTTCTTCTGTCGCACTTACCGGACAATCACTGACAAATGTTTAGATCATATGCAATTGATTACCTTATTCATACAGATTGTTACTCCTTGGATTGAGTCAAATCATGATCATCCGGCTGTAAAATACTGCCAAGAGATCTTCCCAATTCTGTCGACTATTCTAGATTCATTCATGACTTTTACTCCAATTTGTGAACGGGTTTGTCGTACATGGAGATACATGATTATATCGTATCGAACATCAATGGCTCCTCTCCTTCCCCAAATGGCCAACAAACTTGCAGAAGGTTTTGCAGCGTCAAGACAGGGCTGTTTCCTTTGGGTTACTAGTGCTATCTTGCGTGAGTTTTCCGAGGACCGAGAGCACGTCGATGAACAAACCACAGAGTCAATCTACACCTTCTTTGAAGCCCAGTCGACAGCGATGTTGAAAGCCATGGCTGATCTCCCACCTCAAGATCTCCCTGATGTCATCGAGGATTTCTACCGTCTTCTACTTGATGCTTTGCTCTACTACCCTCACAAGATGATTCGATCGCATCTATTTACGCCAATATTCAGGGCTGCCATCGCTGCTCTGGATCTCGAGCAACGCGAGCCTCTATCTGCGGTTCTACACTATGTTCGAGATGTCATCAGCTACGGTGGTGACAATCCTTCAAGTTCAGCCTCCAACATCAATCCACCCGAGATTCAACAAGTGGTTAGGCAGCTTATTCTCGCTAACGGCAATGAATTAGTGAAAGGAATCATGAAAGGCATGATGATTAGTTTCCCAGGAGACTGCTTTACCGATGGCAGTGGCGTTCTTCTTGGCTTATTTGAGATACTTCCACAAGAAACTGCCAGCTGGGTTGATGGAATTCTACGCATGTTGCCAGCTGGAACCGTCAGGGAAGCAGAAATTGACCGATTAATGAACAGCATTCGAGAAAAGCTGAGTATCGGCCCTGATGGTGTTCGAAAGGTTCGCAGCTTATTGCAAGACTTTACAAATACCTATCGAAGACGTTATGTTGCTCCCAGGGATGGGTTGGGCCGACTTGAGGCTACCAGGTTTCAATATAGTGGTTAGAGCTCTTCTTATTCATGGGTTTATACACACAGGGAGAATTTTCGTATTCAACTCTCTATTTTCAATCGTAGCAATGGCATAGCGATTAGGTTTGGAGGCTGGTGGGGATTTTTACTCTTCTTGGCAGAAAGTAGTCATAGCGTGGTGAAAATATTCGGGAGGAAAAACCCGGGTGGTCAGATTCGGACCGGAGTTGGGTTAATATTGGTGAGTATATTTTGGGAGCATTTTATGTGGTCATATGGACAGGTGAAGGAATGGGACAATTTAAGAAGCATGTTGCGTGGCCTTCTTTTCGCTGGGGTTGTGGAATGTAGATGATTGTATGCTGTGATATGTGATAGCATGGAGAAATGACGGAGAGGTGGCCTGGAATGGAAAAGCGCAAGATGGATTTGGGCTGGAATTAGAAGTGAGGAAATTTATGATATCTTGTGGAAAAAATGATATGTGGTTTTCATGTTCACCTGTGTTTGATGGGTTAATTTTACTCGATGAAATGTGCTTGTTTACAAGGACCCGGTGTGGAAGGTTGAATATTGGGATTCGTAGGTGCAGTACATCTAAGCAGTATAATATATAATATTTCTAGTCGCCCTAGTTGTGGATGCGAGATGAAACACAGAACATGGGAAAGTGAAAGTTCCTCTAGGTGTGATATGATGAAAGGACTTGACGTAGAATGGATGGTGTGAAATACATAGTAAGGAGAAGAGGAGGATACCTTGTGAGCGTACCACAAAATGTGATAATGAGAAGAGTATATTGATAGAGATTCTAACAAGTGTTTATAGATTACCCATATGCTATATATGGTAAGACCACAACCTGTATCTCATAAGCTATTTCGTATATCAGGCTTCGAGCTCAGGCTCGGGTACGAAAACACATTAGAAAATTCCTCAGACTCAATCTTCTGATGTGGATATGCATTATAGATATTTGGGAAATATAGGATATAGATCGAGTTAGTGGAGAGGAGATCTGTTGGTTAGGAGGAGTGAGAATTGGATACATGGTTATGGATATGGATATGGGGAAAGTGAGGATATGGGAGGTGAGGCGAGATGAGCAATAACTTTGAGCTTCCGAATCATCTGGAGGTTGATGAGTACTGGGTACTAAGTGCCAGGTACCAGGTACTAAAGCACTATATAGTGAATTTGAGTACGAGAGATACCTAGGTATCAATCTTCCATCTTCAGCTTGGAGTGTATATTTGTGAGAACTGGGTTCGCTTGCTTGCTTGCCCGCAAAATGATTAATACACAGGAGAATAATCCGGAATTTCGAGATATACACTGACTTACAGATTGAATATCAAAGACTCGTATTCTTAGTGTATATGTAGATAAATCTCACATTATAATTACGTTTCGTTTTTGTAAGTTCATTATCTATTTCATTTCAATGAAGTCATTTTAACATACATTTCCGTTCGGGCATTGCCAACCATTGCTTAAATGTTACTTACAGCTCGAACCGGTAACATTGATTCCCTGCTCGGTCTGAAAAGTATAAATGGGTGCCGAGAACATGGTATTGTAACGCTGAGAACGCATCGTACGTATCGTATCGCATCTCAAGGAGAAGCAAAAATAAGGAAAAGGGAAAAAGCAGCAAGGGTACATTGATGTGAGTCCAATGTCTGTTTCAAAGGACTGGTCAAACAGCCTACTATGATAGGCGTCGAACTTTTAAAATGAAAAATGGGATATATCGAAGACAATAATTGAACAAATTTGCACCACAAACTCCCAGCTGATGACAATCCCTAACCAACTCCTGAACAGAGAAAGTTATCTACCCATATGCACAAATGTGAAACCTTTATGTGATGCACCTTTCTGTATCGAAGTCATGGAACGCCGGAAATGTTGCAGATATGGAGCCACCAGATGCAGAAACGGAAAGGAAAGAAAATTCGCGAGAACGGAGACGGAGTATTCGTTAATTGGGGACTTGAGGAAGGAGGAGACGAGAGATGTAGCGAAGCTCATATGATCTAGAGTCTGCTGGGTCGAAGAAGTGACGGACTTGTTTATCATGAACATCGGTGACTGTTTGTATTTGGTTAGTAATGATGCTAGCGTATGTCCGGAAGCAAGAAAACTTACAACTAAGCTGAACCTGATCAAAGAAATCCCGAATGACTTGATCAGACGTATCATCAACAGCAAGAAGACCATTATCTGGCCTAACAAATGTTTTTGGTGGAATGTCTCTCATTCTTAAGAGCATTTGAAGAACGTTAATGAGGTCGTCACCTTGGTTAGCATAAGATTGAGGAGGGCTGTCAAGTGGCCACTGTCCATGAAAATCTTCACCCTCCCAGCATTTGAAAAGCCAGGTGGACTTTTCAACACAGTTAAGAATGATGACTGTAACTAAGAACAGCTCGAAAGAATACTTCGAGGACTTATTAAGTAAACGTCTCTCGAGCTCATTTAACATGCCCTTGCACATCTGAGATGCTTTTTTCTCGGCTGCAGCATTCAGTTGAGTGTGAATAATGGCAAATGATCTTTCAGTTGAAAGAATAGGTTTGGTCGGACCAGCTTCTTCATCAGGCAAGCCTGGAGTTTTCGCACACATTTCCCATCTAATTTCCGAATCGACGAAAATGTGTACAATTGCCCAAAACTCTAAAGCACGGCTAAGGAAGTTGTCTTGCTTTTGGATTGAAACATTTAGAGCCGTTTGAAGAGTTGTCCGAATGAATTGAGAAGGTTCATTTTCAATGAATATTGGCATCATGCGCTTAGCATATGCTTCAAGCTTGGTGGAAAGGTCGTCGTTATCCGTGTCAAGGATAAAAGACGTTAGTCCAGTTTCCTCGTCTTGTGCTTCTAGGCACGGAAACGACGCGTAAATGGTGGTTCCTGGGTAGTGAGAAACTTCAATTTGATAGAGCGAGCTTTGAAAAGTCGCAGAACCTTTTGCAGCAAGTACTTGGTGGTGAGCAAGCACTGCGTGAAGTTTCGCGGAATACAAGCAAAGCTCATGTGCAACTCGTGTTCGGATGCATGGTGTCTTCCACAAACGAGCACTCTCGACGCCCTTACAAGTATCACATGGGTCTCCTGCAGTGCATGGTTTCTTCAACATTCTGCAACGAAGACAAGAACCAATCTTTCTGATATCCGAAACCTCCTTTCTGCGGCCTTCATTGAACTTCCCCCGAACTTTGGGTTTGGTCGCCTTTTGGCCATTGCCATATTCGGCGCTAAATTCGGTGGTCATTGGATTCATAGCAATTCGAGTGTGGGCTTTTGGGCTTTGGGCTTGTGGCTGACCATTTTCGAATGTATTCTCGGTGGGGTTGTGTTCTGGATATGTCATTTGACTCATATGAGCCATTTGATCTTGAACCTGCAGTGCTGCGACTTGACTTGCTGGCATGGGAACGTCCATCATACCCCAAGAATGCTGTTGGTTGTCAGAGCTTCCATTGAATAAACTATCACTCATGGCATTTGCTTCGACAAGTTGTCGAGTCAACTTGTCTTCTGACAATTTGTCTTGGGCGACTGCATCTTCACTCAACAACTGAGGATCCACCATGGATGGGATGAATCTAGTTGCTGCTGCTGCTGTGGCAGCCATTGAATTTGGGGATGCAGATTGAGAGCGACCAAGACCATGTTCATTGGCGTGTCCTTTTTGATTAATACCTGGAAGAAGTTAGTATCAGTCAGGCAATGGAAAAATTGCTTGCACTGACCCTTTTTGTCGCGCTGGGCGCGAGATTCGTAACTCATAGGTGGATTGTCAAGAGTATATTGTTCTTGTAACTCAAGGTTATCTCCACGAGATATCGTTGCTTGATTCTCACCCAGAGGACTTCCATTACCAGGCCGATGATTGCGGTGCTCCGACTCAGCCATGTCCCTGGAGACTTCGGCCAAAGTTTCAAGCGGAGTCATTCCTTGAAAGGGTCTTCCACGGATGGCAGTTGTCTGTTGATTATTTGCAGTCTGAATATTCATATGCTGATTATTCGTTCTATCCGCAATCTCGGGGAGATTGTTAAACTCAAGAACAAGCCGCTGCTTTGTGGCACGATCCAACGCGGGGCACTTCCTGCAGATGTGACTTGTCAAAGTGTCGAGTCTTCCTTTAGGGAATTTCTCTGAGCAAGCTCTGCAAGTATGATGGTAGCGATTGCTTGAATCATTTAACTTTGCACCTCTTTCGAAGTACTGAAGAATCAACGCTGTTGATATTTGTGGTCAGTAAACATTCTTGTTTAAAAGATGAAAGATCGGTGGGGGATGACTCGAGTTTTTGAGGGCTTCAAATTGAAGCTATCGAGAAAATTCCAACGGGATGCACTTACGGTTAGGTTTGCGACCCATCTTGCCGTATAAATCACGTTGATTCTTTTGTTTGGATACTTGATTGACTTATTTCAAGAATAATCAACAAGAGTTGAAGAGTTGAGGATTCGAGTAATGCCAGTTTAATCACTCACCGACAAGTAAAAGGTGTTGGCGGTGTAAGGGGAGTCGGAGTGGGTTAACTGTTGTTCCGAGTGGGGGTTGGAACTAGATACGGTAACCCGAACTGCTCAATACTGTTGTGGCCCACATTCAGCCACCTTTCAAACCTGTTCATACTACCTAGGTAGGTACTCTTTGAAGACCACTCCTTTCACAAATTCAGCATCAAAAACAAAAGGATGATAATGCATCTAAAAGGTGCTAAGTCAACTAGAATGCTCTTGTCACTTACAGAGAATTCACTTCCCTAAAGTCATTCACTTCTTCGTTGATCTGAATCTCCATTAACACCAAACCTCCTACTGCACAAACATCATGACATCCCATCACAATAGTATGTATCAATACTTTGACTGCCTATCTAATTATGCTCTAATTCAACACAGAATGGGCCAGTTTTCGTTTCCTGGACGGTTGACTGACAAATTACAACTCTCTCGCAGATATGAATGTTCAGTTGAGCTATGAGGTAGCCATAGTCAACATTGCTGTGCTGTGCTTTGCTATTCAACAAGATCGAGGAATTACAGTTTCGTGGACCATTCTGCAAAGTTCTACTCATTCTTAGACTCCGTGACTGTCCACAATAGGGCTTGCACGACCTAGTCGCCGTTGATGTATGCAACAGATTTACATCATGCAACCAGATCATGAACGCTTCACAGACTTCCACAATTTTTATCTCTACGATAGTCAATGACACGAATCAAGAGACAACTTTAGCGAGAAAAATAAATCAACATCCGAAATTTCCACGAATTGACACAAAATCAACCTAGGCTCGACCCACCGGACGAAGTTAATTTGCATGTGCTAGTAGTACTTGTATACCAGTATGGTGGCTGCTACTGAATTCATTGATTATCATTTCCTCTCTTGGGCCTGTGCATTGGAGTTACTCTAGATCAGGCCGATAAGGTTATTCTGGCATTCCGGCCTGAGCCGGGCAAGTTCCCTTTCTTTAACTAGTAGGCTAAAGTCTTAATGTATTATTATTAGTGGATTCAGTCGCCTTAAATAGGAAGCTCCCTCGATTTAAGTTGTCAATGTTGCTTTTTGTTTCGTCCACTCATTTGACACCGTGATACCAAGCACCGGTATACTAGCGGCAGATTATAGGTTATATGCAAGGCATCCACAACACGCACAAGGGGCATGTATCAATCGTGGGGTATATGGGTCCTATGACATGTTGTAGAACCTCAAACAGGCGATCAGCCCCGATGTAGAGATTGTAGATTATTGGAAGGTACTTGATAAAACCATGTTAAAATTGGTTCTTTACGCAGCTCATTGGCACTCCAGCAAATATATAAGGTAACATGGTAATATGGTTATCAACTTATTCTTAGAATCCCTTCACTACCCCTGTCAATCCTAATAACAATGTCAGTATGAACCAATGATTAACAAGAGATCATCTCGTGTATTACACGCTTCGGTCCAAAGAATACACTTTTGTCTTCTCGTTTCTTAGTTCTACCACCCAGAGGTATTTGGGTGATACCCACCATCTGTAGCACCTTCCTTCTATCGACCATTTAAGTATAAAACGTACTGCCAAGTGCTTGAGAAATGGATGGCTATGCTTTTCTTCGTCTCTACTAATTGCTCAAGATGAAGTTTCTGTCGATCATATATCTGTGTTTTGCAGCGATCTTTTCAGTCTCTAATGCTGCAGAGCTGGTCAAAGATGACACAATTGGAGATATATGGGAAGCTATTGAGTCAGCTACTACTTGTGCGGGATGCAACGTAAGTATAGAACACATTTGATGAGATATCTATCTCTTTGCCGATCTTGGTGACGGGTTTGAAGGAGCCTCTGCTCGAAATTTATGGGGGACCATTCTCCAATTACTGATTAACGACTAACGTGAGTGAAAACAGGCGATACTATTGCTACTCAAAGGCGTCGCGGCTTTTGGAGATACCGTCTTTGTTGACACTTTGACCGAAATATGTAAACTGGCTGGCGTTAGTTCCCCTATTGTTGTTGTTATTCTTGTTAAATATTTTTGCTGATTTGCTTTAAGGTCGAGGATTCAGATGTTTGCGCAGGTGCAATTGGCCTGGAGGGGCCAATTATTGCACAAGACTTGAGAAAAATGACTTTAGGGTCACACACTTCACAATTGTTCTGCATCACATTCTTTGGATTGTGTGATTTCCCTGCTGTTACTCCATATACAGTTCCATTTCCAAGTCCCAAGCCTGCTACCCAGCGCCCAGCTGTCAGTGGCAAAGCACCCCTGAAAATTGTACATTTCAGCGACATTCACGTGGATCACGAGTATGAAGTTGGAGCGAATACCAATTGCACAAAGCCTATCTGCTGTAGGCCATATACATCCGCCGATGCGCCTGGTAACAACTCCTATCCAGCTGGCGAATATGGCAACTACAACTGCGATGCTCCTGTAAGCTTGGAAGAGAGCATGTACGCGGCTATAAAGGAGGTCGCTCCAGATGCTACAGCAACACTCTTCACAGGTGATATAGTTGAAGGTGCCGTCTGGCTTGTGAATTCGACCGGCAACATTGCGGATATAAATGATGCTTATAGTCGAATGTCTGGTTTAAAAAATCTCTTTGCAACTACCGGAAATCATGAATCGGCACCAGTCAATTCTTTCCCCCCTAAAGCAGTCGGCGTCACGACTAATCAATGGGTCTATGATACCCTATCCACAAATTGGATACCATTTATTGGTTCTACTGCTGCTTCCTCAGCTGATAGTTTTGGTGCATACTCGACGCTCCTGCCAGGAGGGAACCTGAGGATCATCTCTATTAACACTAATCTCTACTACAGATCTAACTATTGGCTCTACGAAGCGACCATGGAGACTGATCCTTCTGGGCAACTAGCATGGTTGGTCACTGAACTTCAGGCTGCTGAAACTGCTGGCCAAAGAGTTTATATTATTGGACATATGCCTATGGGGTCTAACGATGCACTCCACGATGGCTCGAACTACTTCAACCAAATCACTCAAAGATATTCCGCTACTATTGCTGCTTTATTCTTCGGTAAGCTCTTTCTAAATTTCTTTCTTTTGCCCACTAATAAAATTAGGCCACACTCACCGTGACCAATTCCAAATCACGTACAGTAACTACAGCGCCCAAACTGCAGCCAACGCCCTTGAGGTATCCTACATCATCCCCTCTATGACTCCTACCTCCGGTTATCCCGCTTTCCGCGTCTACTCCGTAGATCCGGTAACATACGGTATTCTTGACTTCACAACATACATCGCGGACTTCTCTCTCACTTCTTCCACGCAATCGGCTCCAACATGGAAACCATACTACTCTGCTAAGGCTGCCTATGGCTCTCTAGTAACCCCGCCTCTCACTTCCGCAACCGCAGAACTAACTCCCGCCTTCTGGCACAATCTCACCACCGTATTTGCAAATAACCCTACTGTTTTCAATCAATATATTGCGCGCAAAACAAGAGGATATAATGTAGAAACTTGCACGGGTGATTGTGCAACAGAGGAAATCTGTCAGCTGAAAGCGGCGGAGAGCCAATATAATTGTGCGACTATCAAGCCTGGTATTAGCTTCAGGAAGAGAAGCGAGGGAAGCGAGCGATTAGAGAGAAGAATTGGCGATGTGGTGGAAACCCTTGGAGGAGATTGTGAGGGCAGTGTGATTAGACCAATTCTGACAAAGTTGGCGGCGCAGGAGGGATTGCTAGAGAGTGCATTGGAGATGGCGAAGATGAAGGCTAAGAAGTAGGAGGATTTGATGATGAGAGGAGGATGCACTTCTTCAAAACTCGAGCTTGGACTTCGAATTGAGAAGTATGCATGTGATACTTTATTACGTGTATGCTCGAAGCTGTGAGCTAGTTATAGTGATACACCCAAATCAGAAGTTTTGTCACATGTCTGAGCAGCTATTGAATGTGTTCTTTGTTCAAGTTGATCTCGCAAGAGCGCGAAAGTAAGTTGGATTGGGTGTTGCAATTCCCAAAATCAAGAAACCAAGTCGAAGTAAAGCTTTTGGTTGAATATTTGCTCTTCTATATCACAGAGAAATGCTCCCTAGATACCCCGCGAATAGTATGCGCAGGTGCATGATCAGTAGCAAGGGTATAATCATTTGTTCCCCTCAAAGAATACTTATGACAATCATATTCTGAGGATTTGGCCTCAAGAGCCGATAGTATGAGCCAGAAAGAATAACATCTGGCTTGTCTATATTGTTTTCTGGGGTTGGTTTCAAGTTTCTCGTATAGACACTTTTTGTCTTGAAATGAAAGTTCTAGCACAAGATATTGCATAAGTTTAAAGTTTAGAAGAAAAGCCAATATCTTTCAAGCGCAATTTGCATATCAAATCGATTCAAAACTGCCAAAAACATTATGTGACTTTCAGACGATACAACATCAGCCTTAGAATCCAGTTCTCCCCTGACCCAGTCTTTGTCTCAAGTATTCCGAGTTCATGCTCAATCTGCGCATGCAAGTCATTCAGTAATGTTTTTGCGTAAGTAAAGCTTCCCATGTTTTCCATCTCTGTGATTGCCAATTTCTTCATTTCTGAAGACATTTTCCTCTCGTTCCATTTTCGCGATCTTAGGATGTTGAGAAGTTTCGCATCGCCGTTCTCAGCTTCTTTCCCAAGAGCATGAATGATTGGGAGGGTGAAAGATCCTTGATCAAGATCATTGTAGACGGTATCCAGATTCTGATTATCTCCCTAGAGGATTACCAGTTGGAAGTTAGGCATAGGTGTCAAAGTTCGGATCTCAGCCAAAGAAAGTTAGTTAAACATACCTTTGTACTGGGAATAAGATCATTATAATCGTCTCGAAGCTGGTAGTACTTTCCCAGCTTTCTCATCAATATATCCGCGTCTACATCACGATTCTTAGTCGCTTCTGCAGGAATCATACCTGCTGCCATGCGAAAAAGCCCTCCAGTTTCTAAAAGTGTAATGTCAGTTCCGATCTAACAACGTATATAGACAATCTACGCCCTGTCTTCGGTCTGTTTGAAATATTCCTCCAGACTGGGACATTTGCAATGAAATATCCAATGTAAGTCTTGACTTTGGCCAATATGTAATTGCGACAAAGTATCTACGCAAGTTTAGAATCAGTGATTCCTCGAGATAATCATGGATATGGATGGGATGACTAACGCGTAAAGCAATTGATAGATTCCTTGCTCAAGGCCATGGCAAACTCGACACATTTCACATGTTGATATGTTGCCGAATTGATTGCTTGGCTGATCCCGAACACCTCATGTGCTGAGGGAGATCCGCGTCGTGTGGGAGAGTTGTCTTCAATATCATCTAATCTAAATACTGTTATTGCTGGAACTGAAGGAAAGCCTTGATAATTGGCAAGTTACTCGTTTGTCTTACATTAGTGATGTGTTATGGATGGTACCAATGACATGCCGAATGATCTCTAAGGACTCGCGTGGAACAAAATACCAACAGTTGAGCGCGTCAAGCAATGCATTTCTTGAGTTTGATGCTGGTAAAGATGAGATATATTTGTAAGGTTCCAGAACAATCTAAAAGCTTCAGTAATGTGTTTAGAAGGAATTATGAAGCTTGAGAATTACCTTATCTTCACCATTTTGACTGAAACTAGAGGAATCAAAGTTTCCGTTTGTGTTCGGAGTTTTGACCTCCAAGCTTTCAGGCGTTTTAGCAAACGATATATCATTCTCGCTTGGGTGCTAACAAACTATTAGAATCTTTTTAGAGACGTGTAGGTAGAGTTGAGAGTACCTGGTCTAATTCAATCTTAGACCTTTTACTATCACGCTGTCCATCAGATTTGATATCTTCGATTTGAGATGCGGGGCGCTTTGTCTTTATCTTTGTCTTGGAAGTTGGGGTTGGCACCCATGCGTTATATCGTTTAGAAGTAGCATGCCAAAATCGGTTGCCCGCCGCCGCGAGCTCGATAAGGCCCAGAAATCGTTTCATATCTGAGCTAGGACTCTCCGTTCGAATATACTCGTCCCTAAGCCTGCAATATTGCATTTCATATTCCAGTATTCTATCCCTCAAAAGTTCCCGTGCTTTGGAATCTTCCACATCACGAAGATGTTTCAATAGCCATACGGCATTAACCATTGCCACACTACCATTTGTACGATTATATAGGTCATATTCCTTTTCCCATGAGTAATAATCATTTGTCAGTACCATGGCTTTCAATAGAGGGAGAATCACGGGATTCAAAGATGACCTTTCATCATCGTTCAAATTCACGTCCGCAGTGTATATAAGCATCTCCCTTAAGACCCTGCAATCGTCAATATTTCATATAGAATGGTTGAATGGCAATGATAACATACCACCCCCCAACATCGAAAAATCGCCATACTAAATATTCATCGAGTGTTTTATAGGATTTCAGATCTCTTTGCGGAGACTTGATTTCTAGAAATGGCCGATAAACTTCAAGGAATCGGGATGCTCCATCATGATCCGCTCGGTAAATCTGGAGTGCCATTCGGGCTTGTATATTTTTTATCATACTATTACTTTTGTCGTGGTGATCTTTGCCGATAAATGAATGCATCGTTTGATGAGCTTTTTCGAACTATAAATGTGTTCAAAATTGAATTCTACCACGGCATGTTTCAATTCTTACCTCCTCAGGGGTCTCCTTCTCATCCACCATATCTTAATAAATTTCAATCCAATGTTAACTCCAACTCCTTGCATTAGGAATTCGTCACCATTAAAAATCACTTACCATCATGAATGAATCCATATTCACATAGATAAGTCATGGGAATAACTCGATCTAGCTTTCCTTCGGGGAACATCGTCGCTAAAAAGCTTCCGCTTATCTCATTGACGCAGCCGACGGCAAGCGATCCTTTCCAGTCAGCTTTCTTGAGATCCTCACGGCACTCCCAGCTCGTATTTTCGATTTCTTGATTCGCCTCGTGAAGTCTTGGGTGAAAGGTGTTTGGGAAATCAGGGTCAATCTCGAAAGCTTCAACAGGATGGGGAATTGAGCGTTGGAACTCAATCGGTAAGTTACGGTATTGTCGTGCAGTAGCCATTTTCGTTGAGGAAATACATAAAAGGACTATCGTATTGGAGTTCGAAGCTATGAACGTTTGGTGATATTTTGACACTTATACACAAAATTATACAGACTGGTTCGATACGTGGCAAATATGAGTGACCAATACGAGGTATTCACCATCACTGTGTCCTTATTACACAGCGAAGACATTTTGCACATTCAGAAATCACAACCTTTCAGTGGAATGCTAATACACTAATCCCACCCTGAACTACCTCATCTTGGCCAATCAGAGCCCTGAGATCTGATCAAATTCTATTTTAGATATCAAATTCCTAACTAGAAGTATACACTACAGCATCCAAGGCCAAAAGTTCTTTCTTTGGCTGATTGGAAAGCTGGATCTTCATGATTTGGCTCTATCCAGCTAGTTCGATGAAACACAAAGTTGCACTACGAATCATAAATATCTTGTTTCAGAAGCTCCCTATTTTGAAGAGAGACCGAAATTGGATTGATCGCTGCTTGAACACCCTCTTTAGTGAACTCTTGTTCATAGCTGAATGTTTTGCATGTGTTCAAACTTATCTCTTTAGAAACGTCATTGCAGCAATGTGCTATCCGGTCGCGCTTAGGTTACATGTTTGGCATGTCTCGATGTCTTCTTTTCGTATTGGACATAGTTTGCAATACATGATGTCACTTGATACTATCTTCTTAAATTAATTCTTGACCGGATTAGCAGCCACAACAATGTTAGTGTATGGAAGGTGAGATAACCGTGGTTAGTACTAGCCGAGAACACCTGGGCACAAACCCTTGATGGCGTTCTTGAGCTGAATTTGTGCATATCATGCAATACAAGATGCAGTATGCTACTTTGTGATGTTGTACATGCAAATGAATGCCGGGCTATCATAAAAATATATCTCAAGAATCGGTTCGTTTCTGTGGATTAGCATCGATATCAATGATTCGACATTTGGATTGTAGTTCTAACTTATTTTGGTAGAATTGTTCGCCTTGCCCGGCATTCGTTGTTAACACCGGGTAGAAGTTCACATTAGTGTCTTGAATATCTCTCGACTCGGTCTAATCTTTGTAATCTTATTGTGTTATCTTTTTATGTCACGCCCTGTTATTGCATTGTATTCCAAGAGAGCATCAGCTGCGCACGCCGTTACACAAGCGCTTCTTTTCGACCTCGCTCACTTAGACGCTCTGTCGAGCATTTGGTGCTCCTTCAATGGAACGCATGAATAAGTATGGTAGTGGTTGTGAGTCAGTCCGTACTTGTAACTGCATCAGGTATCGGGGTGATTGAAATTCAGTCGATCTATCTTATAAGTTTTACGTTGGTACACCAGAGGGTGTACGGACTAACGGTACACTATAAGAAATTGACTCGTGGATAGCTTTTGATATATTAATTTATATGTTTTAGGAATTGTCACAACTATCCACTAAAAATAGAACAACCCAAACAGAAAACTTCATATCACACAATTGAAGAATAAATTTGTTTAAAAAATTGGAAATTGAGGAGTGTCCCGTCAATCTATGCACCCGCTGATGGTACATCAATATTTCCAACTACGCCTTAGACTACTCTGATATACTTTCAAAAATTGAGGTAGCGGAGGACATGGAAAATCCTACAATTGCTCGAACATAAAATATTCATAAACTTTGCCATGGCGTCTGAAAAATGCACTTTTTGGCGTAATTATTATACAGTAGCTGGTCTTCTGGTGATTCAAAGATCATTTCAACGTATTTGCTCGGTTATTGATGCTCATAAGATTTCTTGCGTCATTAAGAGTGTGTCGCTTCCAGCGAGAAAGCGGAAAGTCAAACCCATCTGAGATGCGGACATGGACAGTTTCTGATTTCAAATGAACAGTGAAAACGGCATGGTTATAGATTCCTTGAGCTTTAGTCACCTTAGTTGAAGTAGCAGAGATATGAAAGGAAAGTGAACGTAGGGCTGAGTTGTATAGTCTCGGTAAAAGCAGACGACATGGACTGGGAAGCTATTTGGAATCTTAGTTCTTCAACGCACCGGTGCTAGATTTTTCATCCGTATGTACAGATCTCGTATGTTCCATCTCTCTCTCTCTCTCTCTCTCTCTTTTATCGCGTGATATGCTGCCTTTGTAGCTTCCAGCGTGCCATATATGTATTTGGTAGCTATTGATATTAGTGTATCAAAACTTATGTATGTACTTGCTAATTGGTATGATCATAATCCACCTTGGTAGAGGGGGTCAATTCACCATTTTATGTAGAAGATGAAACATTGTCACCTACTGAATTGTTGTCCTTATTCACTTGTTCTTAAATAAGTGAATTACTGTGATGATTCACCTTCCATCACCAAGCATTTAAATAAAAAACTTTCCCCAGAATTGACTTTTGAACGATTGTATTTGCCAGCACTGCCGACTCAAAAAGCATTACTATTACTGAAAAGCTCTACGTCACTCCTTTTCCAGTCTTCACTTTTCTAGCTACCTCTCAATAGTTCTTGATCGCTTTATTAGTCTCTTTCGGTACCTCAAATATTCCGTTTCAGATCAAATCACGTTATCACTGCTTTTATTCTTCTCATATATTTCAAGGGAACATTTTCTCCCCTTCTAGATCATACTCATTTGAATCATAGCAACTTGGATAAATTCAAATTAGACTTCTACCACCATCTCTAGCTCACCGAGCTTTCTTTCTCCCCTGAGCTCTATCCGTCTGGCCCTTCTGCAACCTCAATTCACTCAACTTCCTGACTACATCAGCATTTTCCGAGCCTCTAGCAGTACAAAAAAATCACTAAAAAACTCCCATACCATCAAGTTTTTGAATCCAGGGTCTTTTCACAACCGAGATCTTATCCATCACTGATTTGAGCCTTCAGCCATCAACGAAAAGGGGCTGGCTACATATGCTACTACCTATTTCTCATCAGTAAGTTACCGATCATGTAAACTCTACTTATCATTTGCCATCTATTCGACTGCATGTCCTCAACCTATGAAAATGATACAGAGTGGCTGCCAAGATCTTGACAGCTGTATGCAAATTCTCAACGACTACAGGCCGCTAATCTTTGATACATAGTTTCCACTTGAATCTTTTGAGATTCCAGCCATTTTTGATATAATTCAAGTCAGCAAACTGAGCCGCGAACTATACTTTAGAATGGTACTGTGTTTTCCTCTAAAGCAGTACTTTGGCCATAGGAAAACCGACATCGAACCCAGAACTTTCATCCATCTTGTGCGACACGGAGAGGCATACCACAATCTCGGACATTCCAATGGAAAAATCAATCCCAAATCTTACGACATCCAAGATCCCTATCTTACCTGTAAGGGGATTGAACAAGCTCAATCTACTAGAGAGCAGATGACAAGACGTTGTCCCGTCCCCAATCTCGTCCTCACATCCCCTTTAATTCGCACTCTCGAGACTACACTCCACATTTTCCCTTTCGCCAATAATGTCAGTATCTATCCACAACCTCAAATCGTCGCCTATGATGACTTAAGGGAGAGTGGTGCATACTTTTGCAACGTTCGCCAAGCAACTCTTGATTTAGCCAACAGTTATGACCACAAAGGGGTAGATTTTACTGCTCTATCACCTGTTGTTCCGCCAATGAAAAGTGTTATTCGCACGAAACAGCGTGCTGAAATTGTGCGCAAGCAAATCTTGGTCATTTCAAAGCTCATCAAAAAAGGAGGGGGGCTTTGGAAGGGGATTTATATACAGGGTACTGGACAGAATACTGGGCCACGAATGCGGATGAAACAGGATGTGCATATTGTGGTGGTTTCTCACGGGTCTTTCATGGAGTATTTGCTACCGCGTGAGTTGTGATACGTTTCTCGTTGATTGGGGTACCCGTAACTAATCTCGTTGATACAGGTTCTCACACGATCCATCCAGTGTGGCGAAGATTCAAGCCAGCGGAGATGAGGACATATGTGATGGATGAAGATGGTCATTTAGACGAGATAGTAGAGTCTAAGAGGGCCAGACAGACTGTTATTTTGCGAAAGGTTAGCTTGATTCTCACTAGCTCTTCAGATTGAGACCATCTTCTCATTTTTATGGTTCCGAGGCTTTGTGCTAAATTTCGAGATAGGATAACGTTGAAAGGTACCGTTGGAATTTTTTGGAAATATTCATGTGGATCATGGGGTTGCTTCTTTGTGGATTTGGACTCATCTTCAGTGTCTTGAGGAAGAATACTTCAAATAAACTGTGTTTGGACTATTCGGATTCTGGAAATGCATATATATGAACTACCTACTTGAGCAAGTTTGAGACTCTAGTGAATGATCCTTTTATTATAGCTATGTGATTAACAACAGTACTACAGTCAATGGAAGTGAGATAGGTGATTTGGACACAAGTAATAACGGTGCTGATTTCTCAGGGTGGCAAGGTTCATCGGAGGGGCTTGCCTCCAGCGAATATTCTGCCGGAGATAACTGGTGTTAGACTTCGTCTTATGAAATAGGGCAAGTTCTTCCAATTGATAGAACCACCTGCAGTGAAGGTTATTCTCAAAGAAAAAAAAAGCATAGACCGAAAGACTTCGGAAGATATCGGCTGACATTCAAAGGGTGGACGTCTGAATGTTTCAATCAAGCCTAAACATTCAAATCATCCCCCCTCAGATTAAACGAGAGATCAGCACCAGAAAGACATTTAACAAATCTCACAATTATTTCGACAAAATAATACATATCACCAAGAAACACAGTATTATCGGGTATCCCCGATACTGAATTGAGATTACTTTAGATACCCTAAAAGGTTGTAATATCCTGATACCTTATCCCATCCAAATAAGTGTTAATTCGTTTTCTACCTTACGCAATGATCTTCTTTCCATGTCTAGCATTCCACAATGGATCTTTCTCAATATTCTCATCCCTCTTCTTCATCTTCAGGGTATTCCTCTCCCTCTTTCTGTTAATCGCTGGCTTCTTCTCCTTAGTCATCGAGTTCTTACTCAATACATCTCTCTTTCCATATGGCAAGCCAGCACCTGCAACGCAAGCGCCGCCTCCCCAAGCCGCTGTAGCAGCAGCCTCCCAGACCTTCTCTACGTCTGTGATCATGGGTGCCGTCCAGTACAATCTACAGTCTGCTTCTTCAACTACGTACTGAGCTGGAAGTCCATCGTTGACATTATCGGGGAGGATGGCATCTCTCAGATTGATTGATGTAGCGGTACTTCTTTCAATTGGGAAGGTTGTGAGACGGTTTAAGATGGCGATATCTTCGGGTGTTGCGTTTGGAGATGAAGCAGCAAGTTGTGCATAATAGTATATACTATCGAAGGATGATACTTGTGCTCCTTTGATACCACCTACACCTTGAATGGCGCCGCTCGAAGGTCGACCGCCAAAAGCGATGGATTTGACACCTGCATGAATTCGCATGAATTCGCTAAAAATAGTACAGGTTGAGGCACAATAGCCGTCGTAGATCATGACGATATTTTCGGCGGCAAATGGTTGGGTCAAGTTACTTAACGATCCATATCCGGAGATCTCAATACCCAAACCATATGTGGAGTTCACAGTCGTCAGAGGATCATTAAGGTTCCAGCGCATGAGGTTCGTATAGTTATCACTCTTGTAAACATGAGGAGCGAACTTATCCTCGAAGGTCAAGAATGGTTGATTAGTCAAGTTGTAATCGTATTGGTAGTTGAACCATGTTTCGTACTTGATGATCAAGTCTGACGAAGCTGTGTTTGGGTCATCTTGCATGAAGTTAGCTTTGAATGTGGAATTATCAAAGATTAATGGGTTTTCACTTACAATTTGCCGGAATGTCTTCGGAGAATATCTTGGATATCGTAAGGAAAGTTTCATGCTCTCTTATTTTACTATTTCCATCTTGAACAATGTGAGGAAAGAGTTGTCGGAATTCATCATAGCCTTGGAAAATGTAACCACCCCCATTTGCTTGTAAGTCGACGATCAATTTTGTCTTTCCATCTCGTACTGCGTCAGCAAGGAAGGCTTGGGTGACGGCTTGAAATTCCGGAGCCGATTCAGATTCGAATGCCAAAAGACTCAAGACTGCAACATCCTCGAAGCCAGGTTCGCTTAGATAGTATCCACCGACGATAGTGTCATTAGTGATAACGACAGGCGTCGGATATCCAGTAGCTGTCACAGTAGCGGCTGCAGGCGCTGATGCAGTAGTTTCAGCAGATTCAGTTGTGGATGGCACGCAAAACTTTTGGTAAAACGACTTTCCATCAGTGACACCAGTGAAGTCTCCTTTCACGCCGGCATAGTTCTCTGTAACCAAAGTTGTGCCATTTTCGAAGCCAAAGGTAGTATTTGAGCCTGGATATATGTATCTGATTCGACCACCGGATGCGAAGTATCCCTTAGAAACGCCTGGTGAGTAGAATTAGCATAGTCCACACAAAACAAAAGTGAAATAGTGTATGGGAAGGGCTATGTTTACCTCCTGCAACAAATGCTTTCTCGTAGAACATGGTATTGTATGCAGAATCTGCATCTTGATTGAAAGAGGCTTGGAATATCCAGTCTTCTACATACTTTACCGCATCAACGCCGTTTATTTCTGTGACCTCAGATGCTTCCGATGGCGCAGAAATGATATCCTCTAAATAATTTATTAGCGCTGTTGTTTTGACATCAGATATTGTCCTCAAACTCACCATATAGGTAGATTTTGGGAACTTCGACTCCATCACTGCTGATAGACACTAAAGATCTCTGACGGCGCCACTCAAAAGCAGCCGTGAGAAGATCTGGATAGACTACAAAGTGTCCATCGTGTGCCGGGGTAAAGACTTGATACAAATCTTGTTGAAATTCATACTCATTTGCGTACACGCCACCCTTCTCAAGATTTGATTTCACAGAAGCAAGTTTGGCCAATGGATCATATGGAGGATAAAAGTAATCTGCTGGTGGGTCCTTGAGATCCACGAGATCTGCCAAAGTCAGTCAAAGAGTCTACTTTAAGAGCTTCCATTAAGGAGAGTCTAATTGGGCATAATGCTAGAGGCCCCTCCAGTCAAGGTGAATCTTTAAAAACACAAAGAGTGACAGATGACACATACCTGACTGCCATTCAATATACGGCTCTAATCCTGTAACATATTCAATGGCTGCAGTGACATTCAATGGTACTGAATTAAGACAGTCGTGGGCTAATTTAGCATCAACTGTGGGTGTAGCTAAAGGACAAAACAGTCAGTCTCAAGATCAACGAAATTTAGTTTGACATCGCTCTGTCGTATATTATGCTCAATTCATACAGGAGCTTTAGAAGTAACCTTAGACCTTGAGTTTGTTTTGGGATGCAAACTCTGTATATGTAGTCTGACCACTCGGTACATATCTTCACTCTTGAGATTCAAATTTTCATGTATTTCCACATACCGGATGGGGTGGCGACTCTAGCAACAGATGCTAGACTACTAACGATTCCGCAAGCTGCGAGTGTAGGTGTACCAGTTCCAGTAGCTATGCCAGTACCGGTAGCTGTACCACTAATTGTTGAATTGTAGCCGTGTCCGTATCCGTATGTTTTGCCTGCCATACTGCATGGCATTCCAGCCAGAACGGCAAAAAAGAAAGCCATATTTGAGGAAGGCATTTTGATTGAAGATCAAAAAATGGCAAGCCCGAAACCACCTCGGAAAAGGTAATGGGGAAGACAAGAGAGAGAAACAAGGGAACGAAGGTGAATTAGAAAGTGAATCAGAGCATTGTCGTTGACATATATATTGATATATCTTGATTGCCATCAAATTGGCCAAGATCTCCTAATGCCATGTTGGCAGGTTCTATACTCCAGTGGGAATTGTCCATCTTCCGACCTTCTTCTTCGGGTAAAGTGTGATGGTGCTGCATACTGCCATTACTTATCACGAATCTCGATAAACATGGATAACAGCATTCATTGGAGAGAAACCTGGTAAAAGCTTCATTTCGCCATGCAATCCAAGCTTGATTGGTTCTGTACCTGAATGATTTTCACCGTACTCTTTGCTAAGCAGAGGACTACCTGCTTGCTGATGAGAGCTCAGAGACTAAGGCGGTCAAAGCAGGTGAATTATGCAGTATCAGAAACAAAGTACATAACATTTGTACTACAGGTGAAGAATTGCTATGACAATCGTGCAATACGATCGATTTTGTTGTCATGTTTAATTGTGATGCATGGAGGAAGTACAAAGCATACTTGAGGATACTTTTCGTTGGATGGAACAAAGTTTGTGTTTGGTTAGCTAGCAGCTAGCAGCTCCAGCGGGCTAGCAGCAAGTTTACCGTTAGGTAGGTACCGTTGCACTCCGGCTGCTATTAAGCCACAAAGCCACAAAGCCACCTACCTAAGCCTTACCATTTTAAGCCACTTTTGCCAACAGAGTATTTGATTGGATAGATAAGAGCTGCAATAAATGTCCACCTCTTGGATGCTTTTTGATTCTCTCGATTGTCCAATGTTTACTTTCCCAACCTTCTCATTAACAACAGTTTAAAAGATCAGAACAAACCACCACACTTTTACTTCAATACGAGAGACAATCAGGAGAATTCTTTCAAGATCAAACTCCTAGTTTCATCAGACATCTCTCATGTCACGTCTCACACAAGATTCCTCGCCACCTCACTGCCTGCTCAAGCAAACGCGCCACTTTTATATTCCAATCAAAGTTCCAACACTCATGCCAATCCTTTTCAAGATATTCATATCAGCCTATGCATTGAGAATATGAAGGCACGGGAACTCTTACCCAAAGTGAAAACTTTGTTGCCGGCTTATTTAGTCTTTCAAAGTTTCTGACATGGACCACACCACTTTCTCTGTTCTAATTTTTCAGCGACGGTTATTTGAGAAGTCTCGTACGACCAGAGCTGCAATTGTATCCTGTCCCCAGGCTTATTCATATCGGTAGTGTATCCGTGTCCACCGGTATTATCGGACTCGGTGTCGTAGTCATGGCCACCTCCTGAACAGTCCCCACAGATACCCGATTCTCTGGTACAGAAATCGCAAGTAGGAATTTGGGAATTCTGATCAGAATGTAAATCAGAAAATCCTTTGTTCTCTTCCGCAAGTTCGGCATTGGACGACTTCTCATGAGAGGCCAAGGAGTTTGCTTGGCTGCGAACTTTGCCATGCGCCTTCCCGCCGATGCCAATGGGCTCATCGGCTGTACTTGAGACTGTGCCTGTGTTGTGCTTTTTGGCAACATGACTTTTCTTGTGCACAATGACCTTCTTTCTGTCGGATGTCAATTAGTACCAAGCAATATAGTTGTGAATATGTGCAGGGATGGAAAGCTCACGACTTCTTCGTCATTTTTGTCCTTGATGGAGTAACTGTTGATTATCTTTCTATAACACTAACTCGTTAACACAGAGTGGGACAGTGTCATCTTTTTAAGATATGCTTCGAATTGCCAAGAACGAAGCTCTCTGGAAATTGTTAGTTGGGAACCGGTGGGTAGCAACGATTCTATGACACAACCTATCTTCGAGGTGCAGAGATCCTGCAATGGCAATTCGGTCATTATTGATAGTGCAATATACTCGATAGCTATTAGGCCTGACACTGGTCCAGTTCCCATGTCGATGCAGACTCTAGAGTTTAACCCTACAGGACAAAGGTTGTGTTAAACGATTAGTCCCTATACCGTGAGCGGCATCTGCAATTCGAGAACAATCACACAATTATTGATTTTTGGTGGCTAAAAGTGGTATCTGCTGGATTAATGACGCAGTATTGCATCCGATAGATTCGATGTTGGAAGCTTCTGATCCAGTAGAGACCATCTTTATCCCAGCGAAACTCCAGTGCCGCATAATTGCAATCTTCTAGAACGCCTTATTTTTTTTCCAAGCTGCATATATTGTAGTCTAGATAACCAAGGAATCCGTTCGCTGTCGATGCCTATGCTGCTAGCTCATGATATTATCATGTAGGCTTCCGACACCACTCCAGGAATTGACCACCCTTACTTTCCATCTCTTCTTCGTGCGAATGGCTACCCAACGCACCCTTTCCATGAGATTTCTGAGACATCACTCGGGCAATGCCATTGTAATACAGCTAAGACTCTCGTGGAGAATAACAGTGAGATTTCGGTTGAGTCAATATGGAGAAATTTCTTTCGCTCCCCATTGCGGGAGCGGTTTCAGACGACGGATGGCTGCAGCCTCCTCATGTTTTCATCTTGGGCGCTTTTGCAGCGGTATTGCTCAGACAGGGCGCTGAAGGATTCCAAATCTCGGTGTGCATAATGCGCGCAGCATGCGTGGTTCTGAATTATTTTTGCGCTGGCATGCGTGAGAATGTTTGTTTGCCTTTCAAACAATCACGCCATTTCTTGCCATGTACATATCTTGGAAGAACTTTTTATTTTGAGATGAGGAAAGCGATCCAATTTGCCTACCCGGTGTTCATACAATTACTAGGATTCTGCAGTCTTGTGTCAGGTGAACGCCAGCAAAAAAACCCAGCCATAAGGTAAACGGTTACATTGATTAGGGATACCCAGAACAATGGCTACTTGCCTACACTACCAAGACCGACGAGGAAGTTTTCATGTTCACGCAGAAGCAGTGATTGGACTCAGTGTGCAGAGTCTGTACTAATTCTTGGTACCGCATGACGAGAGATGTGCATCAAAGCTTCTTTACGCTCCAATTTAGATATTTTATCCGTTCACTTCGTGGTGTTCTTACCGCCCCAAGATGCAAAGAGTCGTATCACCACACCGAAATCCTCTTCAACACACATCTCAACGTCTAGTATTTTCCAGTGCCAAATCGGCGTTGCCCAACTGTCCTCCTACTCGTAAAAGGGCCGCCACAAAAAAAGGATGGATCTTGTCTTGCTCTGCAGTTCCGTAGAATGTTGATACCGTTAACCTCGACAATGCCACCGGCAATTGCTACGTGGAATTGTGAATATGTGCATGTGCAGATGACTCGAAACAAAATTTAAGTTGGGCTTATTCTTCTTCATCACTACCTAATCTTCTTTTTTCAAGAACTTCACGATTACACAGCAGATTTCATTACATGGAACCCTTGGGTTATGGTAAGACCAAGGGTTCATACAGTGGGTTTTGAAAATGCAAGCCCCTGCAGATGTGCGACAACGAAGCTTGTATATCATTCGCAACCTTGTAAAAGTACCACTGCAGTGGTGGGGAAAAGGCTCCGTATAAAATCCGTTTGGCCATCTAGCAACAGTTGTTCCCGCATCGCAGATAATCACATATGATCAAATCTGACTGACACGGCCTATCGAGGAATGAGCGAACTCAATTTGCAGTATGAGGTGGTGGCATTTTGGACAATTTGCATGTTCCATGATTCCATCTTCCTATTGTTTGGAAACACATGCGAATGGTTTGCTTCAGATACAATTGAAGTATCCTGTTATCGGACTAGAAGACTGGTGACTTTGTCAACCCATCGTTTTATCACTCGATAGCGATCCACATACAATATCGTATCATGCCATGCGATATTACTGGTAGGACTGACTTAGGTAGGTAGGTAGGTAGGTAATAAGAATGTTTCACCGTTTCCCGTCGCAACAACATGAGATGAAAATAACATGATATTCAATTAGTCAATCATCATGAGATGGGTAGGTATTGTTTTTATGTTTGCCTCTGTGATGTGAGTATGATGAGGTATAAATTACCGGTTCACGTTGTCGATGATGGATGTTTGGACCATCTAAAAACGAACCCTTGCATTTTGGAGAAAAGCTAAGATGCGGGTACTAATCGTTGCTAACGTCACCGGGAGGGCTAATATGATATGGAAGGAAGCTTAAGCTTTGACCTGCCCTGCCCTGCCCTGCTCTGCCCTGCGGTACCTTCTCGAGCTACCTAGAATAGAATGCGTACCTGTGCATTGATAGTCGATGGTACTACTAGGGACTAGGTAGGTAGTCAATGGTATGATGGAAAACCGCCAATCATTGGAAAAAGGAAAGAGGATACGAGCATCGCATCAATAGTGACTATGAGCCATTCGAAAGTGCAACACAATCCATCACCACAGATCAGCTACGTATGGATAAATCATGATATTCCATATCTGATATCTACCTAGCTATTCATCATACGATTTCCCTGCCCATGCCATCCATCCATCCATTGTCGAGAACTACTAGGTACAGCTACTAGGACAGGCAACCTAACCAACCAGCCCTAGCTAGTACCTACCTAGTCCTCTCTTAGCCTTTACCCCACAACATTCCATCAATCCAATCCTTACCTGCCCTCCGCCAATTCCTCTTTGATTTTCCTAAGCTATAAATCTAAACATATATCAATGGCTCCCGACCTAAACTCACTCCCTCCTTCACGTTCATCAAATACTTCACCCAACATGTCCCGCACAGCTTCAAATCCAGGCGATAGCCCCGCACACATGAATGTACGAGCTCAAAGTCCTTCTCCATCACCACGTTCTGCATCCACATCGCTCCAAGCTGCTGCTGCAGTTAACGCGGGCCTTCAACAAGAAGAAAATACAAGACGTATGTTGGGTTTCTTTATTTACTCCTCTAACTTAGTACAAATACTCCATCAACATAAAACGACTGCTAATTTTATATGTAGGTGGTTCGACAAGCCGGCATCGACAAGCTTCGACAGCTTCACACTCAGGCAGAAGACGATCGACAGTCCTGAATGCTTTACAAATGAACGATCCAACTTTACCACCACAAGGGGAAATCGTTAGTGACAGCCAAAATCGTACAGCCAGCCCCATGTCACTCACAGGGTCACCTATCACTGCAAGTGGTGATCATCGACATTATCGCGCACCTAGTCTTGGCGAAATTCATCAGGAATTGGAACAAGAACAAGAGGCTCAAGTGGTAAGTTACTGTTCTATCAGAAGATACACCGAATTTCTCAGCTCACCAGCTGATTTCTCTTTTATTCAGAATCGACTTTTGCATATGATTCGAACTCAACAACAACAACTCCAGCAATTACAAGCTGCTAGTGGTCAAGCGTCAGGTTCTGTTGCCATAGATGAATCTACTCCAACATCTGAGCGATCCCTATCATTTTCGACACAGAATATCCCTCCAAATGTTACCTCAGCAGTCCAGGCTCCCCGATCACCCGTTACTGCAATTCATCCTCGAACTTCCTTCGATGTTGCACGAGAAAATTTAAACCGGCGATCTAGAACACCTAGTCGAACTGCGTCTCCTAGGCTGAGGTCTACATCTATAAGCAATGAAGGGGGAGATGCATGGAATCTAGGTGGTCGTGATGAAAGTGCATATTACCAAGCTGAAACCCAAACAATGATTCGAGAGAATCAAATGTTGCGTCAGAGAATTCGGGAATTGGGTAAGTTAAACTTTATCACATCTCTTCAATATCTCTTCATGCTAACTAATAATAATTAGAGCGGCAGGTTAGTGAACAACATGCAAATTCCTCCATAACACACGAACCTGCCTTGAGCTCCCATCTAGCATCCTCCACCTCGTTTTCTGAAGAACCAACATCAATTGTTGCACCAGCAGAGGAGCCAAAACAAGACTGACACGATACAAACACTCGGAGGCTTTCTTTATGTATGGGAAATACTGCGGACTAGAGGCGTACTAAGTGATTCCACGGATCAAGTGTATCCAAATTGTAAACTTTACGAAACTTTGGCGTTGGTGTGTTTATTAGTACGTTTATTGTTGGGCAGTAACGAAGCTACCTATGAGTCTAAAAGCGCGTATGAGAACATTTCTTATTCCTAGAATCAAGACTTATCAACAACTCAAACCGTAATGAATCATTTTATTTCGGAACTTTGAGATTCAATTCAAAGATGAAGATAGTGATAGCCTTGTCTTTGAGCCTTGTGAACCCCTGCACTTGCACGCAAGCTCCCCGCACTCGTGCTATTGCATCATTACAATCTTATGCAACGACAAGCCATTGAATCCTGATGGTCTAGCAGCTTGAAATTAGAGCTTTTTGATGAAAACCCAAACTTGTAAATATGTTTCGCAGCTCCATTCGAGGTCCACTGACCTCAAAATTAATGCAGCGGCGATGTTTCACAAGTACTATCTCACGACAGGCTGATTTTACACATGCTGTATTTCCCCTTCCATAGTACCAACGATATGTTCTTGCAATAGAATGCTAACATGGCAAGGTTATCGGTGGAGGTGCAGTAGGCCTTGCAATTGCGAGGCAATTAGCAGGTAGAGATGGGACAAGCACATTACTTCTCGAGCGAAATAGTGCCGTGGGAATGGAAACCAGTTCGAGGAATTCTGAAGTCAGTATCTCTCCTTTGATATCTCTTCTATATTGTCACTGCGCCAATATACCTGTCGGGATATTCACATCAGCATTTTCACTCAGCTGATGAGCTATCCATCAGGTCATCCACGCGGGTCTTTATTACGGTGCCGATTCCCTCAAAACCAAAGTATGCATTCGTGGTCGTCAGATGCTCTATGCCCTCTGCGCCCAATACAACATCCCTCACAAGAACATGGGCAAATGGATCGTCGCCCAAACTGACCAACAATACGAAGAACTCGTCAAAGTCCACGCGTTCAGCAAAACGCTCGAGAATGTCCCGACGCATTTCGTATCGTTGAAACAGGCAGCCATCGAAGAACCATACGTGCGCGCGCAAACGGGGATTCTCGCGAGTCCGTCGACGGGAATCGTAGATTCGCATGCGTATATGCAGTTTCTGCATGGGGATTTTGAGGAACGCGGGGGAGACACGGCGTTGAATAGTAATGTGGTTGCGATTACTCCGTTGGGGGATAAGGGCAGCATGGGCTGGGAAATCCTCGTGCGGGACCGAGCGAGCGGGGAAGAACATACCTTTACCGCGGAGAGCATTGTGAATTCCGCGGGACTGGGGGCGTGCGATGTGAATAATATGATTGTGCCGCCGGAGCAGCATCGCACGCAGTATTACGCCAAGGGGAATTATTTCTCCTATTCCCCCCGCACGCCCTCGACGAAACATCTCATCTATCCGGCGCCGCAACCGGGGCTCGGCGGCCTGGGCACGCATCTCACGCTGGATATCGCGGGGCGGATTCGCTTTGGGCCGGATGTGGAGTGGGTTGATAGCGCGGCGGATTTGGCGGTCAATAGTGCGCGGTTGCCGCAGGCGATCGAGCAGATACGGCGGTTTTTGCCGGGGGTGCAGATTGAGGGGATTCAGCCGGATTACGCGGGCATACGGCCGAAGTTGGCGAGGGGCGGGGCGGTGGGGAGTGGCAAGGGGTTTCAGGATTTTGTGGTCCGGGATATGAGGGGGGAGGGGTGGAGCGGGTGGGTGAATTTGCTGGGGATTGAGAGTCCTGGGTTGACGAGCAGTTTGGCGATTGCGGAGGTGGTGGAGGGGAGGTTGTATGGGTAGGGGGGGGGATTAAGGGTGACGAGATACGATGATATGATGAGGCGATTCATGTAGACATGACTATCTATACTTACTTCGAGCAGAACCAAGACAATAGAAACGATTCGCTTTCCGCGAAAGCGAAGCAAACAGTATGCGATAGATATAACAGAACAGAGCTCGCAGCGCTCGAAATATCAAACCAAACGATTGGCGAGCTGAAGAAACAAAGGATGCAGATCGCTACTTTTAACCATTTCCATTGTGATCTCCTTTTCTGAATTGAGTAATTGAGTAGATAGGTACTACATACAGTAGGTGGTTGATCATACAGAATTACTTACTTTACTTACTTTCCTTACTTTCCTTACTTTCCTTACTTTCCTTACTCTCCTTACTTCCTTGGATGGGTAATCCGTTTAATCAATTTGATTTGATTTGATTCAATTTGATCTGATGATTCTGATCTGATGGAAGTTTGCTTTTGTAGACGATTTGTATCTCTGTCTACCTACTTTATCTATACAATATTTAGATACCTAGTATTCATCTGACTCTATCGGTTTTATTTCATTTTATCGCTTCTGGTTATGTATCACATATCACATATCATATACTACGAAGTATACATACATACATACATACATACATACATAGGTACCTACCTACATACATACATAGGTACCTACCTACAAACCCGTATCCATAAAAACACAGGACTTCTCAATCTCAATCTCAATCTCAATCTCAATCTCAATCTCAATCTCAATCTCAATCTCAATCTCAATTTCAATCTCAATCTCAATCTCAATCTCAATCTCAATCTCAATCTCATTGTCATTTTCATTCTCATTTTCATTTTCATTCTCATTTTCATTTTCATTCTCATTTTCATTGTAACTTTTCATGTACCGTTCTCCTCTCCTCATCTCCTCTCCCTTCCTCTCCTCATCTCCTCTCCTCATCTCCTTTCCTTTCCTCTCCCTTCCTCTCCCTTCACTTCCTATTCTTTTCCCAACAAACTTCATCCTAATCCTCATCCCCATCCCCATCCCCATCCTCAAACTACGCATTATCGATATCTCCCCTCTCTTCCCCCTTCCTAATCTAGGTATCTTATCATATCCTACAAGTACAAGTACAAGTTTCATTCATGCATACCAACCAGCATACCAACCAACAAACCATCATCACCATCATCCCTCTCCTATCCATCCATCTTTCTGCTGCGTTTTCTTTCAAAAGAGGAAAAGAGACAATGAGATGAAGATGAAGATGAAGAAACAAGCCATAACATAAAAACGCTCTTTCTTTCACGAGCTCAGAATCTGAATCTTTATTATAAAATGGGTAAAAAAAGTGAAGAAGAGTATTATAATACAAGCGAGAAGTAATGTAAGCAAGTAATGTAGATAAAGTAGGTACCTAGGTAAAGTTAATCCCTAAAACCCCATAGAAAGAAACATAAGCTCATAGAATCCATATCCATCCATCATACCAATGCCCTGTACCTTTTACAAAAAGAAAGAAAGGAAGATCAAGTCTTTTGTTCCCCTATCTCTCCATCTTGATCCGATGCCTTTTCCTTATCCGTAGTGTTCGTATCGTCGTTTATGTGATTGGTTGCTGTTGATATTTTTGAAGCTTCTTTTGCTGCAGCGGATTTTTTGGCTTTCTTCTTGGATTTCTTGGACTTTTTGGGAGGGGTTTCTTTAGTGGTAGATACTTCTTTGGGTGGAGATGCATGTTCATCCTCGCTGGAGTTATCCTTCTGCTCTTGTACTTCTCGCTCCTCTTCTGTTTCTCCGCTACTTTCGGTACTAGATGGCTCTGAAGTAGGTTCTGGTTCTAATTCTGGAATTGGATCTTCGATGACTGTCTCTGACTTCTCTTCGCTAGCATTACCATTTTCTTGTTCCACCTCTGTCTTGTCTCCCACCGAATCACCAGACATACTATCCCACGACCCTGTTGAATCTGCTTTCGAATCATTATCATCATGGATGACAGTCTCAGAATCTTCCAGCTCAGATTCCAGATCTTGGATCGTTTGCGAACTTGAGTGTTCTTCCTCTACTACCCCATTATTCGTCTCCTCGGGTTCCATATCATCATCTGGATCCACCTCCTTAATGGTCTCCACAATAACGGGTATCTCTATCTCTGTTTTAGTATGATTTTCCGTCTCTCCATCCTCTCCCTCTTCCTCTGCAATTCGTGAATTACGTGCAGCCCTTAATCTTTGAGTTATGTCCCCTTCTTCCTCATCAATCTCCTGAACTGTCGTGATTGCCGATCCCACTGAAGGTGATTGTCTAACATGTCTTCTAGTTGTATTTTGTCTTCCAAGCCCTAAGAAGTCTTCCTCAACCCCTACTGGTGTCTTCAAAATCGATTTAACCGCCGGGGGTTTATCCTCAACATATTCCAATCCCTCTGCTTCTGGTGGTAGCTTATAATTTTCTGGCGGCAATAGCTCATGCATATCACAAACCGTCTTGAACAAAACATAAAGACCTGTCTGACCCTCAACCTGCCAAAATACTCCCCGATGTTGAAACCACGCATGCGCAAATATTCGATGTAAGCGCCTGAAAATATTAATTAAATGTTTAACACCAGCCCCTCTGTCATCCATCGCATCACCAGCGGCCATACTCAAACGACTTGGAAAAATCTTTTGACTAGTTACAATATTTGTAGCCCAGTCCAATGTATGACAGCAGTAATCGATCGCGCAACAACTTTTGGGTGATTCGTGTACGGCGCAAAGAAATTGCCATTCGGAAGCGCGCATTTCTGGACATGTATGTGCGGAACAAGGAGGATCATCGAAGAGGAATCCAATTATTAGATCATTACATTTGTTGATTAAGAAACGACAGAGTTCGTAAAGCCAAAGAGCTTGATCGAGCCCATTTGGTGGTGTAGCTATTTCGACGGCGGTTTCGCGGGTTATAGGGATGCTATGGTCTTGGGAGGGAGGTTTAGTATGATAGTAATGGAGCGCTTTTAAATGTTCTTGTAGTTGAAATGCTGAGTCGAGCTGTATGATATTCAAAATAAGTTAGCAATGTCATCAAAATATAGATGCGACGTCGCCTTTGAGCTTAAAATTAGGAAATCAGGAGGTACCAACCTCACTCAAAGGTATGAGAGGTGGACCAGCAGCCATATCGGCAGCTTTTGTTCCAGGATGTATCCTTCGACTAGCATTTGTTTCTATAATACTCTGCTCAATCATTTGTTCTTGGTTTGAGGAAGCCGTTCCAAGGGATGGTGATTTCGGACCAATCTGGATTTCTGTAGGAGGAGGTGGGCTGGGAAGCCGTGGAGAGCTTGGTGGGAGACTAGACATCATGATCAACCCCTCAAATTGACTTTGGAAATCTTTTACATGTGCCAAAAAAACGATGCGCTCGAGGTTGCGACTTGGAAGAGTTGAGTTTGTTTACTTTTTAACGAACGATAAATTGAGAGTTGATGGGTGTGGATTAATATTGCAGTATCACAGTAATACCGGTAGTAACGCGCCAATTTCTTCAGATCCGCGTTAACCAATCAAATCTTATGGTTCTTTAAATAGTGTCGGGAACTCTAAATTGGGTGCAAGGACGCTGAACTTTCACAAGGCTGTAGAACATGTGAGGAATAAAAGGGTTTTTTATATTTTGTGGGAAAAACAATTATTATCAAATTTGAGATCTTCACCAAGTAGAGAGAGGGAGACAGAGAAAGAGAGGGATATTCAAGAATAATTCATATTATTTTTCTCCTTTGATATACATTTACATATCCATCATGGACGTCGATGATGATATCCCCATGCTAGTCGATGTGGAAGGCAAAGAAGTTAATGCAGAAGAAAAAGAAGCAAAATCCATCAAAGTACCAATCACAATTGTCACAGGCAAGTTCTATATATACACCTAGGTACTTAGATGAAACAATATAACTAACCATGAGCTTCAAGGATATCTCGGTGCTGGAAAGACAACGTTGATGAATTATATCTTGAACGAACAACATGGGAAGAAAATCGCGGTGATACTAAATGGTATTTATTCTTCACATTATACATACTCTTCAGATCTTGTACCATACAATGTGACACTTGACTAACTGTTTTTGCAGAATTCGGTGATTGTAAGTTGGAAAACTATAGATCAAGTGATCTTCCCAGTTTACAAGTCAAGATACGAATGTATCATGACTCGGAGATTATTCCACTGGCTTATGATATTCTAACTAACATTTCCACTATCCAGCCGCTGATATTGAGAAATCTCTTACTGTCAACACTGGTAGTGAGCAAGTAGAAGAATGGCTCGATGTTGGTAATGGCTGTATTTGTTGTTCCGTAAAGTAAATCTCCATATTCTTCCTCTCTCTTCTCTCATCCCTACCCCAATTTCAATCCCAATGCCACCAAACCCTCACCAACACACCCCCAGAGACTCCGGCGTCAACGCCATCGAAACCCTCATGGATCGCCGCGGCGCCTTCGACTACATCCTTCTCGAAACGACCGGGCTCGCCGACCCCGGCAATCTCGCCCCTCTCTTCTGGGTCGACGAAGGACTCGGCAGCACCATCTACCTCGACGGAATCGTCACCCTCGTGGACGCTAAAAACATTCTCAAATCACTCAACGAACCCATCCCCTCTGAAATCCCCTCGGAAACACCCAATCAGAACAAATCCCACGCCAGCGCGGATTCCAATTCTGATTCCAACGACAAACACGACCATTCCGGTCCTCATCTCACAACCGCCCATCTTCAAATCTCTCACGCCGATGTTCTCATCCTCAACAAATCGGATCTGGTCACTCCGGAAGAACTGGAAATCGTCAAGGAGAGAATCACAGCGATAAATGGTTTGGCAAAATTACACATTACCGAGTTCGGCGCGACTCCCCAATTAGAAGGCGTCTTGTTGGATTTACATGCATACGATAGAGTCGATTTCAATCTGGAGGAAGTAAAAGCAAAAGGACATAGTCATTTAGATCCCGTGGGTTTCGATTTTCACTTTCTTCTTTTGCCCTTTTTCTTCCCTACCTCATCTATCTTTACCCATCTGTCCAAACACTCCAAATCAAACTTTCCCCCAACTCAACTTCTCCCCTCTCCCCCTCAAAACCAAAACCTAAACCTAAAACTAACACCCCCACCCCCACCCAGACAATCACCACCCTAACCCTCACCACCCCACCCCTCTCGCCCACCAGCCTCCCCCACCTCGACGCCTGGCTACGCTCTCTCCTCTGGGACTCTCGCATTCCCTCTCCATCCCCATCCCCATCCCCATCCACCCCTTCCCCCTCCCCCTCCCCCGAAATCCACCGCCTAAAAGCCCGTCTCCCCCTCACAAACCACACCACCAAAATCATCCAAGCAGTACGCGAAGTATTCGAGATCCTCGACGACGTATCTCCCTCTCCCGCCCAATCCACAACCTCTCCCTCCCCCCAATCCACAACCGCAATTGCCCCTCCACCCCCCCAAAACGAAATGCAATCCGATCGTAACAGCGAGGGGAAAATCGTGTTAATCGGAAGGAATATAACAGATATGGAAGATGTACTACTCGAGAGTTTTTTGAATTGTGTCGTGGAGGAGAAGGGGTGTTAGGTGGGAGATGGGAGTATCAAGATCAGTATCAATATCAAGATCAATATCAAGATCAAGACCATTACAAATCCATACATACATACATAAACCACAAACTTTAAACATAATTCGAGATCCATCCATCTATCTCACTATTATATACATATACACATACCCACCAATCAACCCAAATATTATTCATACACAATCCTCATCTCATTACACCATTCCAAATCTCATACATGACACATTGGTATCATATATATTGGTATCATAATACATTGGTATCATATCATATACATAGCTATCATATACATATCATATACATAGTAAAAAACCTCCGCATCCTCACTCACATTAACAGCTTACATTAACAGCTTACATTAACAGCTTACATTAACAGCTTACATTAACAGCTTACATTAACAGCTTACATTAACAGCTTATATTAATAGTCAACTAGGCAGTCAGTCAATCAACCCGTTTAGCCCACTAATTGCTACCTACCTACCTACCTACCTACTTACACTGGCCCTCCTTCCCTTCTTCTTCTTTTTTCTATCCTATTCTTATACATCATTCTTCATTCATTCATTCATTCATCATCATCATCATCATTTACAATAAATCAAGTCCAGCCGCCACACACACATACACACATATACACACACACACATATATATATATATATACATACACACACACACACACACACACACACACACACACACACACACACATATATACACACACATACACACAAACACAAACAAACATCAAAAAAGAATCTCATAAAAACAATATCATATCATGGTCATGTTCATATTCATGGTATAGCATAAAGCACCACTCAAGAAACTTTATCCTTTCTTCTCTTATCTCCCAAGATTTTTTCCTTGGCCTATCCCCCTTCCCCTATTTCTTTCTCCATTCTCCATTTTCCGTCTTTATCTCCCACTCCCCCTATCCTTTCACACTAACCACCGTCCCTCTCCATATTTATCCCACCTCCCCTTTTACCATAAACAGAAAAGAAAAATAAAGACGAATAGTCTTTCCTTCCATCCATCCATCCATTTCTCTCCCGCCCACCCCATCTATATTTGTATAGCAACACCCCACCCAATGAATTTATTCGTCCCTCCCACAATAAAAGAGGACAAACTATAACCCCAACGCCAGAAATGCTATGTACATGTATCTCATTCGTCGATTATGCTTTGCAATGCAGTGCTGGAAAGCCGCTCATCGAAAGACGAAAAAATAAAGTAAAAAAACTGCGCAAAAAAAAAAAAGTAAAATGAAAAGATAAAGGCCATAACATTAAAAATGATGGCCAGTCCCCCAAAAAGCTTCTCGATGCTCCATCAAATGCATTCATTTCCGGATAAGACTTCTCAAGTCGATGTTCATTCGTACAGTATGTGATACTGCATCCTCCTGATTTCGAAAAGGAAATCTCATTTTCGTCATCTCCAATTGATCCTTCTGCTGGGGTATATTCAGGTCCAAAAGTAATATTGAGGGGAATCTATGCAATCGCTAAAAGACAACTGATCGTTTCAAAGCCTCTGCCAAGGCCTGAATACCTGCTCTCGAAGTAACTGCTCTCGAAGTAATAATACAACTGGTGCCCAAGATCGATGAAGTGGCGAGAGGTATTTTAAAGGGGGTTCGTCGTTGAGCCAATTGGCAATTATCTAGATGCTACCTGTTAGATTTGCTAGCAGATCGTTCAGGTAAGTTGTACCGTTGTCCATTTGGAGATATTGAATCGAAATCGTAGTTCTTAAGAGTTTGTTCATATTTTGAGCTCTTCATGAATTTTGGTACGGAATCCTATGATTGATGGTTAGAAGATGATCGATAATTGCACATACACAGTACTTACACTAGCCATCAACTTGAAGACCGATAATTGAGCCTCTTCAAATAACTTTGTGACTTCCTTCAAACTCTCAACCATAGCAGCATCTTGTCCAACAGCCTTGGTCATTCTAGTAGCCAATTGATTCCTGAGCAGATGATCGATGTTAAGTTCGCAAGGTGAGCCGGGAGCTAAGAATGCATTGTAAATACCATAGGCTGAGGCCATAGTTTCCTTGACGGAATCGAGACTTCCTCCTGATTTACCCCTGGTTGGGTCTACATTTCTCACGGCTGCTTTGCATGACTTCAAGAATTCCTCGACATCTAGATAGAAAGACAAGTTCTCCTCACAATGGGTATCTCGAAGGTTTTCGCGGAAAAGTAAACGAAGTGCGGCATCATTAAGAATTTTGTCCAACTTTTGTGTATTCGAATCTCGGGATACACCAGCTCTGACAGCTGCTGAACTTCCTTCGCTCTCTGAAGTACGATCTCTCGAAGTCATATTGATCACATCCTTGCCTTTCTGTGATAATTGGTAGTAGGCATACTTTGTAGGCTGGAATCGGAAATCCTTCTTGTCATCTGAAGGAGGGAGTTGTTGCTGGTATTGCCTATCGGGCTGAACGCACCAGATTAGTTCCTGCTCCAAAAATAGCGACGCAACTTCTGTGGTTTCCCGTCTATCCACCGTCGTACAACAATCCATCAGCCAGTCACAAGCAGCCTTTCCAGTAAATGTTTGATAAACAGTTCTGGGTGGCGATCCAACTTTACGCTCTCCTGCCATTCTCACACCAGCAATTCCATCCTTGTACTCGCTCAAAGAATCCGAATCAGCTGATGTGGTGCTGGTCTTGATATTCGGTCCATTTTGACCAACAAACCTGCGGAAAATAACCTCAATTGTGCTTCGATCCGAGGAAAGTTTGTCCGTAGCAGAATCTCTTTCTAGAATAACCAATTGCATTGTGTTCCTTGGGGATGCGACAAGTTCTGCGACATGTCTTTGTTGGATTCCATTCTTCGAGCAAAATCTTTCCAAAACATGAATACCTTTTGGTGTCAACTGCCATATGGATCCCTTCATTGTGAAGTCCTTTGCTTGCTTTCCGTCCGCAGATTCGATAAATCGTGCATCGAGGAAACGTTGACATACTGATCGAGCCATTTCCCGCGCCATGGAAAATGTGGTTGTCGTGGTGGTGGTGACAATACGTGAGGGGTCTTTTGGATCTGGCATACGATTCGATTGTGAGAATTTTAAAGAACCCAAGTTGTTGATAGCCTCTTCTGAAAGAAACGAATGTTCCACTCTAGTTAATCGTATGCGGTGCGTTGCCAGTGGTAAACTGACTACCAACGTTGCGAATAAATCTTTGAAATCCTTGTCCAAAAGTCAGCATCAATCTTGGCCTCTCGAAAAAAAATTAACACATCATTTTCCAATACATACTCTCGTGAATGGCCTGTCATCGCTCGTCATGCGCAACAAGCGCGACGATGTTTGATGCATCTTGCTTGAATTTGTCGTCCTGTGATTTGAGTGGATCAACGGTGGGGTATCTGCAGCAGTATTCGAGTACGCCTGCGAGGGAGGGTTGGTACCAAGTAACGACTGACGACGACCCAGGGAATGGGAGGGAGGTGTATCCTCTGAAATTGTGTGGGAGGCAGTTGATGTTGAGTTTTCGCCGGGCGAAGAGGATAAATCAGTGTGATCTACGTTGCTTCCTAAAACTTCTGCCGACTTGGACCTGTTTTTAATACTATTCAAAGGAGTGTTTTGATCTGGATGTGAATCTAAAATATTGCCTGATGACGGACGTGAACGTAACGCGGGTTCAGCCAAACTTGCAATTGCGTTGCTAGTTTTGTCTCTTGCCAATACAGCCAAGGTGAACAAGCCACTTCGGTTTTGTCTTAATGAGCTAGTCGATTGACGATTTTGCTTATGAGAGGGAGTATTATTAGACGTGCGAGGTATCAGTTCCTTTGCACTCGATTCGCGAGGTATCAACGAAGATTTTGAATCAAAAGTTAGAGGTCGAACCGACAATTTTACTGAAGATAAGAAATTGGAGGAATCTCTCGTAAAAGTTTGACTAGTTTCGCCTTCTCGAATGGATCTATCCGAAAGTGGTGGTGGTGAACTTGAGGCTGAGGTAGATGATGATGCGGCGGTGGTGGTTGTGGTGGAAGTGGATGTGGAAGTGGAAGTGGTGGGAGTGGGAGTGGGTGTGGGTGTGGGTGTAGATGTAGATGTAGATGTAGATGTGGTTGAGATATGTGTAGGATGGGATTTATGGGTAAGAGAGGACGGGACAATACGATCTTGAATGTTACTTGTGTCAATCAAATTCGAAACCGAAACCGAATGGGAGTTTGAGTTTGAATGATGTCCGGATTGGAAAGAGGAATTGGGAGTTTTAGAGATGGTGGAGGTGGAAGTGGAAGTGGTATTTCTCGTGGTAGTGGTGGTGGTCGTAGTGGTGTGGGGTGAAATAGAAGGCGAGAGAGCCATCTAAGGTTTTTTTTTCTCTCTCTAAATCCGCAACTAATATAAATAATTTATTAATAAAAAAAGTAAAAAGTAAAAATAACAATAAAACAAAATAAAATAAAATAAAGTGTCCCATTCAGAAAATCTATAACAGCAAGTCTGTAATGTTTTCCAAGGACGGAGGGAGGGAGCAAGGAAGGCATGAGAAGAGAATTAATGGAGTACTTGCTAGGATAAGGGAGGAACCTTGACACATCTGTCTTGAATTTGCGATTATCCACGCTTGTACTGTTTGTTTGTTTATTTTATTTATTTTGGCCTGGCCTGGTCTCGTTTCTCTCCTCTCTTTCTCTCTGTCACTCTCTGTCGCTCTCTGTCGCTCTCTCTCTCTCTCTCTCTTTACTTTTTTTTACTCCGCTCAAGGGATTGAAGTGGAGGAGGAATCGGTAGAGGAAGAAAGGTTTAGGTTGTGTTTTGTTTGTGTGGGTTTTTGCTAGGTGTTAGGTGTTAGGTGCTAGTGCTAGATGCTAGGTGCTAGGTGCTAGGTAGGTGATGGGTGATGATGCTGGGCACTCGATGTGGGCGATGGGTGCCAGGTACTAGATGCTAGATGCTAGATGCTAGATGCTGGGTGCTGGGTGCCGATAGATCAAGAGTTTAGGTACGGATTCAGACAAACAGGCAGACAGACAGACAGACAGGTACCAGCTGCGGAATAAGGTGACGGTCCCAAAATGATTAGAGCTAGCGAATGGTGAGGGTCTAAAAAAAGAGCCGGAGAGCTGGAGGGAGAGCGAGAGCTGGAGATTGGGACCAGCAGGGCAATCCAAGAGGATACGTCGAGGCAGGTATTCGGTGAACAATTGCATCAATGTGAACCAAGCAGGTAAGAGAATCTCGGGACTAGGTTGAATGGAGATTAGAGGGAAGGGGTTAAGATTGGATTTGAAGATTTAATTACTTGAATAAGAAAGCAAGCAAGATATCTGAGGGTTTAAAAAAAGGTTAAAAGAGGGACAGGCGATTCGAGCATTTCGGAAGAGGTAGATACTAGATACTAGATACTAGATACTAGATACTAGATAGGTACTAGATGGAAAGAGAGGGTCGGTCCGCAGATGAAGGGAATTTTGCATATATAAGATGATTTTGTACGTGCGTGCATGTAATGTATGCGTGCGTGCGTGCGTGCCTGCCATGAAGGAAGGACTCAAGGAGACAAGTCAAGACTCCAGAGTGACAGAATCCAGCTAGGCACATGGGAACGGCTAGCTGGCTAACTCTGAAGAGCACCGATGAGTGAGTATCACTTCTTAATTGATTTGCTAAGCATTACGACCGTGATGAGTAAAATGAATCGATCAGTTCTGGATTGTGGGAACCCTAGCTGGCACATCTCATCCATCCTAGGGACTTGCTCGACCTCTCACGCTCTCACGCTCTCTCGCTCTCACACCCTGGAGGGATTGGATGGCATGGTCACATCCACCAGCATTATTTATGCAGCAAATGCAGCCATGGCAGCAACGAAATCAAAAGGAAAAACGAAAAGCGGGAAACCTCGTTCTAAGCACGAGGGTTGCTGGGACCCACAAGTAGCGTGCGTCCGGCGTGTTTTTCTCGGTAGTGTAAAGGAAGCAGGGGGATTGATTGATTTGTTCTACGCCTAAACATGTTGTGTACACACCTTTTTTTTTTAATGAAACATAATTAATTGGTTGAGTGAGTGAGTGGGTGAGCGAGCGAGGAAACGCATGGAAGCCAAATGGGACGGGGAACTAATCTACATCGAGTATGAAATCATCTGAGTGGAGCGAACTTTTGACATCAAGAGTGGAACTGTTCCTTCAACTTTTCGATGGGGGTCGACTTTCTGCTTCTTTTTGCATCTGTACTACGAATCTGTACGTGTAATCAATCATCAATCATCAATCATCAATAGATTGAAGAGGACGGAGGGGCTTGAGTATTGCATGCAGAGCACATTGTATCTAGATCTAGTAAGAACAGGGAATCCATAGTCATAGTCGTACTCATAATCATACTCGCACTCAAAAGAAGGATAGTCTCATCTACCATCCCACAGATACTTTGTAGATATAAATTCCGACTCTCGTTCTCACGCCCACCCTCATCTCACGCTCACGCATCTAAATCCGAACCGCACTATTACCAACACCCGATATCACCTATCCCCGAGCCGATCTTACCATGACAGAAAGGTAACATAATGGCTTGGGTCTTTTCCTTCACCTGTACTCTACTGTACGCAGTAAGACGATTATGCCTTGTATGTCGTAGTGATACTAGTGATACTAGCAGCGATGTGTACTCTAATAAGAAAAAAAAAAATCAACATTCACACACACATACACACACACATATCGTACACACACACAAATATCCCATTTCATCAGACATCCGTGAAACGAACCAATGAATCGCATGGCGGCAAAATATGCTTTCATAAAGGTTGTCACAACTCGTGGGCCGTAAGCACACTAATCGTCTTTTAAGTTAATGCCAGGTGAATCTCTCTTATTTTCTCGTTTTTTACTCGTGGCAGGCAGGGATCGAGATTGTCTTTCATTCATAGGATGGATCATGGATGGGCGGAACCCTGGATGGATTTCGTGTGGCCAATCATTCGGCTGCGTTGATGTAGTCGCTGTGGGCTCTTAGATAATGCCATTATTACTACCGGTCACAAATTACAATAAGTAGACCCGTCTATTCCTAAATGATCCATCATCTCCAACATAATTAAAGCCAGTCTCCAGTGTACTCGAGTAAATGTTCATCTAGAACCATGAGCGATGATATGCTCAACACTGATACTGCGTACTGGTTGGTACCTTACACCTTACGATACTCCATTTTTGCTAGGGAATACCTAGGTATGGGACAAGCTTGAAGCAATCCATAATTCTTAGGGTTTCAATTTTTCAATTGCCCATCCATACCAGTCAGCAGCTCTCCAGTCAGCAGCTCTCCACCCATCAAACAAAATACCCTTCCCTCCTCCCCCCCCCCGGAGCCAGGACACATGGTTAAGAACGGTACAACCCTGAGATAAGAAGATCTTCCAGCTCTGTTGATCTATCCAATTTTAATCTTCTTCTTTCTGCTTCTTGGGTTCTTCTTGACTTTCTCTCTCGAGTAAGCGATATGTCTCTCTCTCTCCCTCCACCACTGGCTTCTTCCGTTCAATCCAGGGAATACGAAATAAACTCTCCATGCTAAGTTTCGGTGTGAGAACCCTTTCAGCAGTTGACAAGCTTGAGCCTTGCGTGATGATGAAATATGTCTCTCTTGGACGATCCGGGTTCAGCCTGCGTGCGAAACGAGGATTGGCAACATGCCAAACATATGCGAAAATCGCACCAGCAAATCACTCGACCTTCCGGCAGTTGTTCTGAAACCACGCAAACAATGCTACTCTACAGGAACCACCATCGGTAATAACCCTCGAGACGCGCATCTCCTATCTTACCTATTTTCACTTTTCAGAATGGTGTTGTGCATCTATACTTGGTCCTGTGTGTACCTTTAATTTACAAGCCCAATCTCGTGGGCTTGGCACCATCCATTGACGGCTAGATAGCATGATCGAGTCCACCCTTGCAAAATGACCACCGTGTAACTGGAGCAGTAGCAGAGAACCGTTATCAGTAATAAGCCTACATTGCACTTCGGTGAACGTGTCTGCGTGTGTAAGATTGTGCTCCCAGTACCAAGCACGATGATGCGAATATCCGCAAGCCACGCTTCTCCAGCGTACATGGAATCCCACAACGTGCCTTGCCGTACACACGTTGGTTGGATCGAAAACGAAGGTCATGTAAATTTTCTTCTTTCATTCGAGGCGCTTTGCAGGTCGCGGTCGCTTGCACGAAACTTACTCAGACCGCCACCAAATCTCCCTCCCTCATCCCGAGATGGGGATGCGTAAAGACAATAATGTATGCTATGTAGGTACCTACATGTACCTATCCCAAATGAAATGCGATACGCTTGCGCTAATAGGACGGGAGTAATGCAAGCTCTGTCAACGGTCTGCATGGCTGAACATGTCAGCAAGGCGCGCGGGTTCATACGGTGGTAGATGCGCCTTCGCACTCAACCGCAAATCACCATCATCATAGTATCATTATTGTCTACAGTATAGTGTTCTACCTAGGTCGGCCCATTTATAAACAAAAGGTGTGAAATGAATGCTTGTCGCGAGACGGCCTTCGCTCTTCGGTATATTAATAATAAGAAAAAGGGTTTGTTGAAACTGTTGAATGCTCTGTACTCCACACAGACAGGCCCCTCAATTTCCATCATGGTTCTAGAAACCCCGGGTAGGGCAATGGAAATTATGGAATCAATACGGCATGAATGTGTTTGGCGCTTCATTTCCATTTGTCACCGCCCGATGAACCGGGAAGGATTTTGGAGCCATGTGGAAATATTCTGATGTCTGATTATCCCTGTCCTTCAACGACCAGCGTTTCGAGAGGCGGTGAAGTATAAGAAAGATTTGGGCTATTGAGAAAGCGGCAAAGTGCGACGATCATCTAGTCATCGGCCTTTTGCTCGCAATTAAGAAAGATGCGTGGGTGGGCGGTAAGGTTAGATATGGATATTAATATGGATATCAACTTGTCAAGTGATTTTATCGTGTTTTAGTATCAATAGTTGGGAATTTTGAACAGATGATATGCACCACATCACCGCCAAATTGAAGACAAAATTCACAGTCTAGAAGGTAGGCCGAAATTAGCTTGGCAACATGTGCTTGTGGAGTTAAACCAGGGAGGGAAAAAAAAGAAAATGGGATGGAGACGTATTGTTTTCGTACTCCTGGTCGCATTGGGTTGTCATGTTGCTTGTCAGTGAATCCTTCCTGGCCTGCGGAAATCCCATGGGAAGAGGAAGGGCTTTGGGTATGCAAGACTAAAGGTACCCAGTCTGTCAACGGCATTGAGAGATCCCCTGGTTCCTACCACTGTACGAAATAATCTCTCCTTTTATCC